TTGAAACCACCGTGGCCTCTGGGAGATCCCTCGAGGGCCGAGAGCAAAGGCTCAGGCAAAGGGGTGAGATATTCAAGCGGTCTCTATTTCTCAATGCCATGGCGACTTGCTCCGACCGTTAATGAATGCTCATGTCTGGTCATACCCAGTCTTGCCCTGGCCGAAAGCGCACCCCAAGTGCGCCCGAATCGCAGTCCAGAAACCCGAGAGTGCACGTATGGGCTCATCTGACTCGCAGCTCCTGGAGCTGACCTACTCTGCCGAGGAAAGAAAGTTCGATGGCGGGATTGATGGACAATCGTGATTTGATGCAGAATAGAATCAACTGTCGCGCCGTCGACGCATGTTTTGATGTCAATGCTCCATTTTTGTAGAGTCATCCCCGGTCATCACGAAAATTCATTACTCTTCTGAGCCTCACAACCCAGAATCCCTCCGGGGGATTCCCGCGTCTTGGTATAAAGGGAAATGCAGACTTCGCTGCGCTGAAGTTCCCAGCGCCGTCTGTGGTCCGCTGTTGACCGATCGGTTTGCTTCAGATACCCAGACGAGATCTGGATTGATAATAATCACCTCGAGGAAGACGGTCATGGAATGCCGGGAGCGTGAACCCCCGAGGGCGCGCTTCGCAAAAGTAGCGACATTGTGCGAAGCTAAAACAACCGAGTCATCTATGAATGCGAGACCCTTCGAAAGCGCCCTATCAGGTACAGAGACTCACTTGTTGGATACATTTCCGCCATCCAGATTGCTGTCTAGATACCCATACGATTAATTATTCAACATCGAAAGCTCACTCCGCGAAAGAAGACGCGTGAACGGATGAAATCAGGGTGTGCTTCACAATGCAACTGGATTCTCCTTCTCTCGGTCTTCCATCAGCTTCGACTAGATTGACTGTGCATAAATACCGACAGGGCGAGCGGAGCAGCTGATGCAGGAGTAATGCAAGAGATACCGAGACAGGCGATCGCGAGATCCAACGACGAGAGTTCTCCTAGGCTTTCGTAGGTCAAACATGGTTCTCGCAAAAGAGGGATTCGGACTATTCAAATAGGTACTCGAGGCCCGCTTTCGAAGAACTTGATCATATCGAGGAAACCTCGGACTCTGAAAGAAATGGCCTGTATGACTCTCCTTCGATGGGATTCTTGTGATTGGGATCTCCCCACTACGGCGAAAGCCGGACTCCCCGGGCTCGCACGGATTGGTTCCAGAACCTGGACCCTGGCATCCTCCTACAGTGACCCTCGCAGTTCCTCCGGACAGAGAGAACGGGCGAATTATAGATTCAGCAACACGATGAATTTTCTCCACCGTCGCCAGAACCCTTCGAGCTCCCCTCGCGGGTAGTCCTGTGCTCCAAATACTTTCGCATAAGCCCTCAATCATTCTCCACGGTTTGCCGATGGCCGAAAATACAGCCCCAGCTCACTTATCCAAATATTAATCCGAAGATCATGCATCGACGTAGGATTCGGTCGTTTCGTTTGCGTCCCCCAGAATTCGGTCAGCTGATCAGATGGTGTATACTGTGTTATCCTCCGCAGTTGGCGTCATGAATATGCATGCTCATGGCCTTGGGCCATCCGATAGAGGGCCTACATGGATGTTCATTGATACTTACTCGACTCCCGTTCCTTTCCGTTGAGGATCCTTCCCAGCGAGGCTCCCCAATTCCTGGCTGAGTCGATTGAATTCATGATCAGTCTCGAGCTCTTTCGGAATTCCGAAGGAATGAAGAGCCCAGAGTGATGAGGAGAACCGAACGCTGCCGAATGCTCTTCAAAAACGGAATGTCCTCCGCTCGCAGAGACAAAGCCGCCTCGCTCCTCGAGTGACGTTTCGCAGTGCTTCGTCGGAAAATTACAGCTTTACAGGAACATCGAGTCGCCTCATTCACTTTTGAAAAAAAACGTCCTGCGACATTTCATTCTCTGTGCTTTTGAGGACCGTTTCAAACGAAAAAAAGCAATCGGAAGGAAAAGCGATAATCATTCGGGCTCGCTCTCGCCGGGACGTTTCCTGAATTTCCGCGAGCGCAAAGCCTTCGATCGACGCTCCCAAATGGAAGGACTCAACTTGAAACTTCTGTCAGACCCCCGGAGTCTCGACACTCATTTCAAAGTTCTCATCTCATATCAACTCCTGATCTCTCTCTCCGGAACCCGTCTGTCACGCATCAACATCAGTGAATCTGAAAGAAGGGGAGCGGTTGAAGAAGTCTGACAAGCGATAGGACTAGGAGTAGGAGCAATCGGATTCCAGACTCATGATCCAGGCTATCGATGATTTCATCGCACAATGACTACGTCCTTGGGCGAAAGAATTCCGGAAATACTGAGTAAGGAGATTTTCGCTCTTGCGATATCGCGGCGAGTACATGAGTTCGACGCTTCGGAAGCCGTGGAAGTGCTCTCAAATTCCTCAGCGATGGTGAGAGGTCCCGTGCGCCATAATCGCGCCCCAGTCCGAGCTCAGGGAGGAATATTCCCTGTTACCCTCTGATTAGTGCTGAAAAAATCGCTCCCTCAGAGGATCGGTAATCGATTTTCCTTCGCAATGCATCGAGTAACAGCCCTCGAGATGCCTACCAGTTTCTCGCATAATCTCTCTCGCTCGAATCGATCATAAAAGTGAAAATTTCGAGTCTGACTGTTCTGCCGGCGTCGGAGATTATCTTTTTTAGCCGTCATCTCCAATCAGCCCCGCATTGTGTCTTCTTTTTCCTGTTGTTGTCGTCCCCGGTCGGGGAGCTACGCTGTCAGGCAGGTCACGACCCGACGACTGTGAGCAGCAGCACCTACATCCCTAAGTATTCCCTGAGGGGAGCTTGACATCTGGCGATTTCAAAAGCTGGAAATCTCTCGGAGGCAGATGAAGCAGACAGCCGTCACCTCCATCAGCGAGAATCGCACTGGAGTCCCAACGGCATTGATTTAAGCGAAGACGCGTACAGGCGGTATGATTTTTCTCTGGTGAGGGGTCGCTCGACGACATGAGAAAAAAATTACAGGTGTCGTTCACATCGCCAGTTAATCGCTCTATTTGCTGAATGCAGGTCATTAGAGTTGCACAGGAGTTTGTATCGAGCAGCCTTAGGGCTGCAGTTTTCCTCACGAATCGTAGATGCGCTTCAGCGGTCGACCCCTTCGTCCTTGATGGTAGGCGGTTGACGCGACGCGAAGTGAAGTTCCACTCTCAGCGCTCGCTCTGAGTTCAATATATTCCTGTCATGTTCGAACCCTGGGATGCTGAACGTCGTCACACTTCGATTGACTCGGGATGAGGAGCTCTACGATGATGATAACGGCTAAGGCTGGGAATCATCCACGGCGTTCTTCCCGAAGATTCACGGCAATTTTCACCCCCCATTGACTTCCTATGGAGGATCGCCTGAAAATACCGTGAACATTCACGGCTTTTGGTGCGATCGCGCCAACTTCCCAGCCCTAATCATGGCTCTGCGCGCCACATCGCTATGATAACGATGATTCTAGAGAAGACTGAGAACCGCCCGCACCGGAACATTCGAAGTGCCTGGCAACCCGATGGCTGCGAGGATTGAGGTTCGCCTCTTTGATGGGACGTGGCGACATGGTCAGAGGAGCGGCTGTCCTCCCAGTCCGTCTATGACGGGCTGCCGGTGGATTCATCGAACCAATATTGTCGCGTCGGTTCCCGAAAGTGACGGTGGACTTCCGTCGCTCCCATTGATGGATGGAGTCGCGGCGTGATACGAAGGCCGTCCCGCCTAGGCTTCCCTTTTGACACATTCCGGATACTGTACTAGCCGACTAGCTCATTTTCTGGCCGAAAACGAAACTCGTGGGTTCCGGACTCTGAGGGAGCATCATTCCATCAGTCGAGACTCGAGCCTTCGAGCTCGCCTGATTGTTCTCCATGCAATCTTGGTGTCTCGATCCACTTGCATTGGACATTTTGCAGTTCACATCATCATTCACGATGGAGCCGTTCGATGAAGGTAGCGGAAAATATGCACTCGAGTTTCAGAGTTGCATCCCGGGTAATGCTAATGCTCCGTTAAAATCTGTACCCGGACAGGGCTTAAACCATGCGCGAAGGAACCGGCCTCCCGGCTCTATTCTATTCGGGTCCATAGAACTGCGGAATCATAACGAGAGCAACGACAGTAGACGGAAGCTTGGTGGCATCTACGCTCTTGGTCTGGTGTCGGAGAAAGGGTGTCAGGCCAAATCGCGACTTCTCTCGCGGGAGGTAGACCTCGGGACTAATCTGCGACGAGCTCCATCCCCTCGGCGCTACCCCTGCTAATTACTTCCCACAACCATTCATACGAGACGCGCCACGACGCTTTGACAGGATACGGACGAAAATGCGGGTATCTTGAGTTTCCTATGGTCGACGGCAAGCAAATCAAGGCTGAACATGGAACTCTCGAGGTGAAACCGTGATTTTCTCCTGTCTTTCGCTTCAAAAACATCGACAGGCTGAAATAATGAGCTTTCGGGACCCACGCGATTTTACTGAATCGAGCAGCTTACTCTTCTCCATTGAAGCAGCAGAACGATCGGCCTATCGTATCGATTTGAATCGATTGCCATGGCCAAAGACACGATGTCGAAAGTCCACCGTCCGAGCGAACACTCAATTCAACGGACGAGTTTCTCTGGTCGAGTTCGGCTCTCAGATATGAACCCCTTTCCACATGGAGTCCGACCGAAATTCGCTCGTCGTCCGGAGCGGGGGAGCAATGATTCGAGTCCTTCGAGACAAGGATGCTAAGGAGTCGTCATGGATCGGGAGGGCGCCCGAAGAGAGCTCGACCCTTATGCTGTGTATTCGAAAATATTCTGCATCATTGGGGAATAATAATTATAAATTATAATTATCAATGAGAACTAAAGAGACACGCGTAGCCATGAGGAGTCAATGCTTCTACATGTGTTTGAATGGTCGAGGAGCATATAGATTCCTTAAATCCCGCATGATTCGTAGAAGAAAAAAAACATTATCGATCCGCTTAGATCAACAATTTATTCATTGCCCGATCTATGCTTATTCTCGGTTCATCATTCTTGCCCGGGCGAGCTTCTTTTTCGACAGCTTCTTCTTCTCCTCCTCGGCGGGAGCACTGGGTTTGTTGACGACGTTCTCCTTCTCAGTGAGAATCAGCTGCACATGGCAGGGCGAGCTCATGTAGGCATTGATCCTACCGTGCGCACGGTAGGTTCTCCTACGAGTTTTCGGAGCGCGACTGACGTGGATGTGATCGACGACGAGACGATCGACATCGAGCTCCTTCTCACGCGCGTTGTTTTTGGCGTGCTTCAGGAGGTGGAGAAGATGCTCAGCGCTCTTTTTCGGCCATCTACCCTGCGATGTCTTCCACGCCTTGCATTGAGCGTGGCGTCCGACTCCGCCGTTGAACCTGCAACATCGGATCAGACCTGATTTTAATTCCAGATTCTCTTCTACGAACTTCTTTCCTGATCACCTCTGTAAGTCTTCTTAGTCATGCGGGGCAACTTCTTCTGTCGAGGCGGATTCGGAAAGTCGGCAGGTCAATCAGTGTTCGAGCCTCCGCGACGGTCGTCGAGTCGGCGACCGAAATTTGCGGGATGAAGACTCATCATCCCGAATCAGGCGGAAATATTCCGCCGATTGAGGGGCGCCAAGAATTTCGAATCTTCCCGTTCCGCGAATGTCTCCTCGCCCTCTCCCGTCCGAGATTGAAAAATATGAGCGACGCATATGCATGAGGCAAATCGATTTCGCAATCTAAACATCAACGCGGAGACCTGTTCGGTGCGTCAAAGCGTCCCGCCTCGTCTTCTTCCAGAGAACAAGCGGTGAGTCAGAGAGCGTCACACTCCAATGGCCGTACGACTCGTCCAACTCGAACTGATGGCTCCTCTTTCTCGTCCACCGCATCGTCCTGATGCGGGATACACCGAGCGGACAAATGCCCTTGAAGCCCTTTTCGACATGTTGCTTGCTTCCGCTTCTCGTCATACAGCAGGCAAGCGACATCTCTGGCGGGCAGCAGTTACGGCCACAGGAAGCGCATCCTCGAAGATTCTATTCGGAGTTCGACGGACGCGAGGACGGAAAAGCAACGAAGTCGTCGAAACAGTAGCACGGCATGAGTGCGATCGAACGCTGAGTTGGCCCATGACAGACCCATCTCCGCTCGACGGAGATGGGTCTGTCATGTCTGTCAGTTCCGCGCCCGACGACGGTCCACTCATGTGTTCCCCATTCGCAACCCGGCGCTGCAGCGGCCAGCCGCCATTGTTTAATTAGACTCTGTCGGCCGTCCACTCTCCACGCTGTTGTTGGACAACCATTGAACGTGTTCCGATTCACTTCGGCGCCGGATAGACGGTCGCTGGATTGTTCCCCCGGAAAACAGGGGGATAGACGACGGAGAAAAGGAGTAAATCGACGCATCGTCGATGAGGAGGGAGTCTTCCATTCGGAGCGGGTAACGGTGAATAGTAGGCCAAACCCAACTCGTGGAGAGCCAGCCGCCTTTCCAGCGTCACCGGTTATACGACAAATGAGGCATTATTACACCTTTCCCGAGAGATACCAGCAGCCTCTGCATCGTTTCCCATCTTATAAGCTGCCATTAGCGGCGAGGTTATCCCCGCCCATTGCAGGTCTCCTCCGCGTACTCAGTCAGACAAGCAGCAGCAGCAGCAGCAGCAGAAACTCTTTCTGCTGATCCGGAGACATCGCGAGCATCCTCCGCGGCCAGGAAAGTTCGGCTGTCCTATCGTTACGGCAAAGATTGAGGTCGAATATGTAGGAGTCTCTTCTGCGCGCTCAAGGAGAAATTGCGGGAAGGCTGCGACGTATGACTCGCGCGTCGCGATCCCCTCCGACACTCCCTCTGATACGTTTTGATTTAATGCGGTACATGGAGCAGCCTCCTATTTGCATAAGTTATAATGAGGTGAAGCGTCGATGCCTCGATATAGGCGTGATTATTGGGCGATCCGGAGAGCTCGTGAGCTCCCGACGGAACCGAAAGATTCGCCTCGCCTCGCCTCACTATCCCGATGGCGATTCAGGTTGCGGAGTCCACCTGTTTCTGCTATAGAATACTCCATGTACTCGCCGACCACGGAATCTCCGCAAAGCTGCTCTCGTAGATAGCTTCCGTACAGAATTCAATGCTCGATGAGCGAGCTGAATATAGTGGACATTGACGGATGCACGTAAGTCGCAGGGGTCTTCCCGAATTCAGCAACGCTCGGTCTCGTTCACAAGCTTACGGTCATCGTCCGCAGATCGCGCGGCGTACTCAGTCGGTCGGGCTCGGCGAATGTCAACGATGTCGAAAGCTCGAGAGAACGCCGATCAAAGGAATAACATATGTGGACGGTCTTCGGACCAAGATCGAGTCGACCTGGTAGAGCACATGAGGAGGCCGATTATCTTCTTCCGAGAGTCCCGAATCGGGCTCTGAATTCCGGATGCAGGGATGAAATCCCAAAGTTCTGCAGCTGCTCTGATTTCTCCGCGTGCGGGGGAATTCTTCGCCGCTTGCACCCCACCATGGATTCTAGTCCCCGGTGGCGGTATCCGACGCGGTCGTAATCAGAAGGACCTGGACAAACTTCATCGAGCACAGAGAAAGAGAGAGAGAGATGCACACACCTGACGAAAGGAACGATTTCCTTCTTCTCGATCACGTTCTCGAGGAATTTCTTCGCACGCCTGAGCGGCATTCCCTTGATGGCACGGGCTGCCTCACGAGTGTTTTTGAAGTGAACGCGGAGGTTGCTTCCTCGTGATTTGGCGGCTTCGGGGTAAGAGTCAGAATTTAGGGAGGAGAGCTAATATGTTTCAATGATTATTCCTTCTCGAACCAGCCCTCCCGACGGAGATGGGGTAGTTCCGGAGACTGAGAACATATCGAACTGCCGAGGAACTTACACTTGGCCGGGTTGTCGGGCTCGGTTTGGTAGCGTCCCATGATGAGACCTGAAAAACATCGGGAGCCAAAATGAGCAAGACATGCGGAGAACCGATAGGAGCCTCTAGAGCCGTTAGAGCAACGATCCGGTCGTGGGAAAACTATTCTCGACGCTCCGCCAGTCCCCGTTTTCAATTGTCGCCTTCGCGACCACGTTGTCAGTCGGGCTGCCGCCGCAGCGCTTCAACGTGCACCGATGATACACTCGAAAACTTATGCCGTGGCGAATAGCACAGTCGCCGACTATCCGTGAACCAAGGAACCGATTGGAGCGGGGCCGCTTACACCAACGACAACGGATTGGAAACGTGAAATAATGAGATATTAACCAAAGTTTCAGATCACCATATACACACCGATGCAGCTCCGAGGAAAAAGAAATCGAAACCGGATGAAGCCGACGACATGGCTCCCTGAGCGGGCGGGCGGTTGAGCCTCTGTTTATGGCGCCGAATTTCAAAAACGAAATGGGGGCTGCGCCGTCCGTTCGCGGTGAGTATCCGTGGAGTTTTCCTGATTTATCGAGAATCGAGAGAATTCTCTCGAATCAGAAATTCGCATCCCCCTCCTATATGCGGCTCGATGAGGAACTTCGGAAAATATTGGGGAACGAAGCATGGGGGGGGGGAATGACTGGTGGCTTCTCGCTTGAGCCAGGTGTTCGGCTCCGCCTTGCTCAGAGCTCTCCCCGCTCTAGAAACCGAGTTGATTTCGACTAGCTTCTGTGACAGAATAGCCGGATCCCCGCTCCCGAACCCGGATGCCAGCTGAAAGGGCTAAATAAATGCGGCTGGACTTTTTTCCGGGACCTCCGCTTCAGTAGACGGGAGGTCGAAGCTTCTCCATGTCGGAGAATCGGGTAATGTATGCAAGGGTTCTCTCACTTGATTGTCTCGGGGGAATTTTAGAAAAATCTTCCTCCGAAAAATTCGCCGAGATGAGGTCCCGAGCTCATCAACGGAGCCCAGGAAGTTCTCCAGTTGTGCGAACGAGCCGAACGAATCTCCGGGTCAGTCAGAGTCCTCAGTCCCAACGGATCACGATCATCGATACTCGGGATGGTCAGGGAAATCGACCTTCAATTCACTCGGACTCCGGATTACTTCTCAGTGACATACGGGATAGGATAGTAAACGTCTTCTTGGGCCCCAGTAGGATAAAGAGAAATTGATATCGAGGAGACTACCATCGAGACGGGTCCATCATCGTCTTTTATGATACTCGGAACCTTCTTCCCCCGGTTTCCCGAGTCTTTTTTTTCCGTCGACATAACTCTATGGTAGAGTCTGCTGGGTCCTGGCAGCGCAGGGGGTCGAGCGGCTGATGTGCGACCCTCGCCCTGTTCCCCCGGCTCGACCTCTCGCTCCTCCGCGCAGTCCTGTACTTCACAACATTCGCTCAATGATCCGAACATTGACGAATAGCACCGGTGTTCTATCTGTGTCGCTCCTTTGAAAAGCCTGCAGCTCGCTTCACTCCGCCTCGATTCGGGACATCCGAAGCGACATGGCTTGATCGAATCATTTCAAGGGCTGGAAAATTGTCCAGTGTCCATGGTCAGCTGATTCTTACTATGGTAAGCGAACTCGACATTCTCATACTCATTCACCGCATAGGAATTGATGGGAGGACCGGTACCATGAACATTCCATCCAGCCCCTTGAATAGAGCGCGGAAAGCAATTTTCGCGATGCTTGAGCATGTCGCGCGAATCTGGGTCAAGGGATTGGCAGACTGATGGAAGTTTCGAACTGCAACTCTCTCTCGTTCCGAGAACCCAGAGGACCGGTAATTTTCAGGGACTATTATTTTTGCGTACCTGTTCCCTTTTCTGAGCTCAATTTGTTGAGCCTGAAGCTCATCCAGCAAAGCTCGAGGGAGAACCCGAAAGAAAATACATTTCGATCGGAGGAGCTTGTTTTCCTGCCCTGGCTGGCACACGGAACTAATTCGAGAAAACGATTCTTTCCGAGAGCAAGCGCGCGGGATATGAGCTGGGGAGCCGCACAAACATGACACTAGGGTGAGGATCTGTTTTCTCAAAAATAGGGAGATCGCTTCACTGAGCTCCGTCGAAATCGAGTATGCCCCGTGTCACCGGTGAGTGTGTTGAGCTGCCCAGAAGGCAAATGAGCGCCAAGAAAGGGACAGAGAGCGGGCAGGTAGATAGGGAGGCGGTCGGGCGGGCGAGTACTCTGTCGTCTTTGGGTCACAGGGCATCGTCCCTAAGATTCGACGACTCTCGCGTCTGTGAGCGCGGACCTCTCCCGACAAACGAGCCACCTCTGGCCCGGAAGAGTTAGGCCATAAATGCATAACGGCCAAAGTATTGCGCCCCGAGCCTTCTCGAAACAGTGATCTGGTTTCGGGTAGAGCTTCTCATGACGGTGGAAGTGTATCGATATCATTCAAGCAAATCAGAAAATGCTTCTGACCCCCAAGTGTGGGGACGCTGTGAACACGAGCCCTCTTCGGGCTGATACCCTGTGAGATGACGAAAGAAGCGCTGATGGAATATTGTTGTTTTTGCCAATCGAAAAGCTGTTGCCACAGGTAGGAGGGCTGCGCTCCGGGGGAGATCGAGCACCGGGAGATAATTTTCGCTCTACAGATCTCCAAGATGTCTCGGTGAAGAATGCCAAAATCGCTTTGTTCTGTCTTAAGGTCCCCCTTATTGAATCGAGCGGTGTGGCATGAAGTCGGATGGTCGAATTCGAACGCAAAAGTTCCAATCGAAGAGATGGCTATCGAGCACCTCATCGATCGCCACAAGAAGAAAGAAGACGATGAAACGACCGAACTTCCGGATAAGACCTGGAAGATCATCCTCAGTCTAGGTGAGCTATTCTAGAGAATTTTTCCCTAAGAAAAAACACGATGGGAAACCTCTGTGCTCAAATCGAGTCCCTCCCAAGTTCTGATCCGAGTCCATCTCTCCACAGAGGAAGAATGCAACCTCCTGCGGCAGGTTGCGAACATTTCGACCCCTCCTGAAGATGAAGCCGTCCTCCTGGATCCGAAGCTTAATGCTTTATTCTCGATCCAAAAACGATTCAGCAAGCTCGACCCCGAGGACCAGGAACCTCGGAGCAGACACGCCATCAAGAAAGCCGAAGAAGTTAAGGATTTCATTGGAGCGTACCAGGCGTATCACGACGATGATGCAGCACAACTATTCGCCATTCTCAACAAAGCCCACGTCAAGGGTCTCCTCGAGGCCCACGACAGCATCGCGCGGCGAGATTTCGAGCCTCCGCTACCCCCAAATGAGATCGACTTCGATGAAGAAGTTGTGAAGGTTGTGCAAATTGTTAAGGGTCCAGAGCCGCTCGGCATCACCGTCAAATACGACCCTTTGAACGGTGCGCTTCGAGTGCATAGAGTTCTCCAAGGAGGAGCTGCGGATCGCAGTGGTGAGTAGGCGAGTTGAGTCCCTAGCGACTCGCGGACATTCTCAATCTCCTGCCGTGGGGTCATCCGCTCGGCGATAGCGGATCCCCAGCTAAGCCGAATCTTCCAATGCAGGTTTGATCCAGCCCGACGATGAAATCATTGAAATCAACGGTATCGACGTTGAAGGCAGGACTCCTGCGCAAATCGATGAAGTCTTCGAGCTGGTGAAGAGCAGTCCCAACTGTGTTGTGAAACTTTTACCCGGTGGCGGTCTGCCACCTGTTCGCGCAAGCCACGTGAATCCGCTGCACCTTAGATGTCTTTTCGACTACGATCCTTTCCGGGTGAGTAGCGATGACACGCGTCGCCATGGGAAACTATCGAGCACATCAGCTCGTCTGGATCCGATTCGCAGACCTTGAGCGTAACGGCCCGAATTCTAACGCTCGAGTTCCCACAGGACGCTCAAAACGATTGTCCAGACGCCGGCTTGGCGTTCCGTAAGGGGGATATCCTCCACGTGATCGCCCAGGACGACATGTATTGGTGGCAAGCTCGGATAGGTGTGATGGATTTCGTAATTTTTCATCGTCATGGACGACATGACTGATTGACAAAATATCGTGGCGCCGTCACAACTTCGCTGTGCAATTCGACTAATGCTCTGGAGTATTCCGGTTGCAGGCGATGAGGATACGGTACGAGTGGGTTTGATTCCTACGCCGCTTCGCCAAGAGAGGAGATTCGCGTGTCAGAGGGAGCTCACAGTTCAGGAACGCAGCGGCATCCTGAAGTCGCCAATCCTGAGTCGAGTTCGGAAAGTGAAGAAAACCATGTACAGACTAGACGAGAGCGACTCCTTCGATCACGACCACATTGCGACATACGAGGAAGTTTCGCTGCTCATGTCTTCGCAGCTGACTTTCATGAGACCTCTCATATTGATCGGTCCACCCGGAGTAGGCCGGAATGAACTGAAGAGACGCATGATAGCTACGAATCCCAACTTGTTCAGAACGACGGTACCTCGTGAGTTTCGTAATGATTCGGCATGGCTCTCGAAAGCGGTCTTAGGTGTCATGTATGAAGTTTAAGGTGAAAGATTTCTTCCCCAGACACGACCCGACCGCAGCGCATATACGAGGTGAACGGGAGGGACTATCATTTTATTTCAAGGCAGAGAATGGAATGGGAAATCCGTAAGGGTCGATTCATCGAGCACGGCGAGTTTGAAGGAAACATCTACGGAACATCGATCGAGAGCGTGAAGGCACTCATGTCCAGCGGTTATACAGCGGTTTTGACCCCTCATCCCCATGCGTTGAAGATGCTACGTACATCTGACGTGAAGCCTCACGTGGTTTTCATCAAACCGCCGCCCTTCGAAATTTTCAAGGAGACGCGACAGAAAAACCATGCGCGTTCGGCCTTCGATCCAGACAAGAACCGAAATTTCACGGTAAGAACGAAAGCCTCGATCAACACGTACGGAGAGTCCAATGCTCCCCTCGTTCCTGCTCCCCGACTCCCATCCGCTCCGACTCACGTCGACGCTAATCTCCTTTGTTCTTTTCAGGACGACGAGCTGAGGGACATCATTTTCTTGTCTCATAAATTGGAGTACTTATACGGACAGTATTTCGACGACGTGATCGTCAACGAGGACTTGGACAACTCATTCTTGACTTTGCTTTCTATCTGGCATTCGGTACAAACACAACCAAAGTGGGTCCCGATCAGTTGGAGCCAACTTATGTGACCAAAGAGATTCATACTGTGATCAGAGTTGACACACCGCCCGAACCTCTCAGTGGGTTCTACTTGCGTCCAGTCGAGTACCTTCATAGTAGCCAAGTAGCGCGTTTCGACAACTTTCAGGGGCCAGTTGAGATTTTTGAGAATTGAGGAAGTCGCACTGTCGTCAGTGTGGATTGCATTTCGAGCCGTATTGACGTTTTACCACGTATCGGAGTGCGGGAGGCGGCGGGCTTGTTCGAGCACAGCGCGCTTGCTCAAAGAAAATCGGTGACCGTTGAGCTCTCGTCAATGAAGTGTTGCACCAATTTGAAGGGGGATTGATCAATGGCCTCGCATGTTATAAATATAGCTCGCGCGCCTTCTCGTATTCGTTGAGGAACTCTTCCGGCTAATCTCCAGGTCGCATTGAGCGGTCACATTTTCCTTGTAAAGACTATCACAGAACGGCTTGGAATAAAAGATCCAGAGGTGCCGATAAAGCCCTTTCCCACCCTTTTTTCGTTCCCGCGACTCTATCTGCGGAGGAGTCGACGGTAGGTCCGCAGGGGCTGTACAGAGGGAAAATATCCTACAGACATCCTGGGTCTCTCAGCGACTCCGGAGCTCCAGCTCCCGACTTCTCTCAGGGAGCGGATCTCGCAGAGTACCGACGGAATTCAATCACTTTTTTCAAACTTCTCATCAAACATAATGCGAACTCCTTTTTATTCGCATGTCTTCTTCTCCAGGCATGGGACTATTTACAAACGACACGGTGCAGCGAACCTCTCGTTGATCCCCAGTTGGTGACCTTCGAACATTGCTTAAGAGACTGTCTCTCCGTCACCCGTCAGAACCCTTGGTTCTGGACACCTAGGTTAGAGGGGTCGATAGAGGATGAGATGATAGATAAGCGAATGGAATCTGATGAAATCGGAAGCGACCTCTCTCTTCCTGAGAATATGCGAACATGCACCAATCCTCCATATCTAGAAAGTGAAACGCGTCTCTCTTCTCCTCAAAAGACACTGAACTTCCTTAGGTCCAACGCTCGTCGAGGGACCAATCTTTCCTTGGCGCTTTTTCGCGAGTTACACCCTGGAGATTTCTGAGGAATTCCATTCCGCAATCTCTCAGAATATCTCGACTTTTCTGAGGGATGCCAAAAAATTGTCTCCAGGGACATCTCCGACTTAAAAAAATATACTTTTATCACAACTATCCTCGCAGCGGGCGCTTCATAGGAGTTCCCCTCGTGAACAGGGACTTGGTTCCGCTCGGATACGAGAGACCAACTCGCAGCCGGGGTAAAATTGTGTTAAGTGCTTGAGCATCGATTGGATATGCAGGACTCTATCGCAACGTGAAAGGCGCCGCGGCCCGCTCATGTTTCTTCGAGAATCGCTGTACGCCTAGAGTGACGATAAGCCGGCTTGTGCTTTTGCGAGTATGATTGTGTAATGTAATTCCTCGAGCGACTTCGCGGAATTCTGCCATTCGTTCAGCAGCCCTCCCCTGTGACGGCTTGGAAGTTCTTGATTTTGCTTGGTTCATATGGCGCAACCTCTCCCTGACCATAGATTTCGTCGTCCTGACGAGGAACCTCTCTTCGAACACTCCATGATGAGAGCATCAAGAGCAGGAATCGTCATCTTCTCCTAAATATCCTTGTCCACTAGTGACCCCTCACGGTAAAGCTCGTCAATTCGAGCGGCGAACAATTCTCTTGCGACATTACGCTTGACTTTCAACGTGGATGTCAGAAGTCCACAGTCGACAGTGAATGGCGTCGTTTCCAAACTGAGGTTGCGAATCTGTGGAAAAAATTTCTGTTTCATACGAGCCCAGGAGGTCCAAGCTATACGGATCCGATCCCTCATTCACAGAATCGCGATCAAAGCAATGATTAGACTCATTGATCCCTATTCGGACCCTCACCTGTTGTAGACTCCCGAGATCATGCGCGGTTCCGAAGTTCCTCATATCTTGGAGGAAGGTTTTCCGAATTTTGATGTTTCCGCAGATTTCGTTCAACGGGAGACCGGCCTCCTCCTCGAATCCATTGACTTTGAGCCAGTCCCGGAAAAGCGCTTCCTCCGGTACAATGACAGCTACGCAGAACCTCTGCGAGAGAAAGGTCAATGAAAGCAAGTGATCGAATCTGATCACTGATTCCATCGAAGGTGGTGAATACCGTACCTGATCTCCACGTCCGTCGATGAAAATATTGGCGATTTGGTCCATTCGACCGTAAACTGATTCCACTTTCTCGGGGGCGATGTATTCGCCTTGTGAAAGCTTGAAGATGTCTTTCTTCCGATCGATGATAAGCAACGTTCCTCTCTGAACGGTTGAGAAACATTATTATCGAAAATGATTCGGATCACTGGGAATGTGAGCAAGCTCCACTGAATCTCACTCGAGGGATGCTTGAAACATCCGTGATGGATATGGTTTGAAAACTGTCCGGCGAATTTACCTCAGTCCAACGACCCACGTCCCCGGTTACGACCCAACCATCTATCAGAGTATTCTTGGTGGCTTCTTCATTTTTGTAGTAGCCTCTGAACATCATCGGTGAGCTGAAATTTGGCCGAAAATTTCTCTAAACGCATGAACCTCAAACAGTATCGACATGGAAGCAAGCCAATGGGGACGCCTGGGAATCAATGTAGTAAACTCAAATAATATAAGATTCGGGCATCGACTCACCGTACACAGATCTCCCCGACATCGTCCTTGGCATAATACCCCAATTCCGGTACATCAATGAGTTTTATCTCAACAGACGGAAAAGGGCCCCCGAGGTGGCCCCCTGTATGATCGAATGGGGACGTACCGCCGACTATCAACGTTTCAGTACTGCCGTACACTTCCGAAACATGACAGCCGAATGCCACCTGGAATTCGCAAACATATAAGCTTCTTCCGATTAGCACCTCTCAGATCAGAGACGGGAGAACGATGTTCGGAGAGGGCTCCAGGGAAGCGTGAGAGAACCCCTCTGCGGATGCCTCGAAGGGTGCTCCTTCTGCATTCTGTCTGGCGTTCTACAATCTGGGATAATACCTATACGGACATTCATCGAAATGTATTCGGCATGAAGCAGTCGAATGGCTTGGCGTGGACTGACCTTGAAAAACTCCATCACCTCGTGACTAAGCGGAGCTGATGATGTGATCATGGACTTCACACGTCCCCCGAGTAAATCTTGAATTTTCTTAAAAACTAATTTGTCATATATCGTATCATTGCGCATGATGCCCCTGAAAAGAGAAAAGCCAATGTCACATAACTCCCTCGCATGAAAATCTGGTTCGTTTTCCCCACGGCACAGAATGCCGCCTCCTTGCTTTATTCTGGGAGGAATACCAGGCTAACGGCTTCCCGAAAGCTTCGCAATGTACTGGCACGATTTACGGATCTTTCCTACGGTTGGATGACATCTTGCTGGCAGACCGACTTCGAGCGACCCTCCACGATTAGGGTGAGTATTGATTAGTGTCGTGATCTGCCGATCATCCCCCCCTCATCTAAAGCATTCCGAATCGTTTTCTAGGATCTCTCTATATTTTCAAATTGCCGGTCCGTACCGCAGTTCCCCTTAGGACTGAAGACTGGAAGAGTCGAGATCTGTCGACAATCCGTCGCGAGGATGGGGGAGTGGAGCGCACCCACTGCAATGGGCTGACCCAGCGTGTATAGGGGGGGGGCTGTACATGGAGCCCTATGGGGCTCATCATCACTCTGCCCCCAAAAAACATTCTCCCCCCCTCCAAAGGAAGTTCCTTCATACGCCCCTGGCTGACTCTCCGTATCCTATCCAGAATGAGCTCGGTCTTTTAGGAGACGATTCGGTGAATTGATGAATGAACCAGGTGTGGACTCTGACCGGTCATGGACAGCGAGCGCAAAGGTCGCACTCCACGTGGATCTCTAGATTCAACGCAGCGCTGTTCTATCGTTTTGGAAGCTAGGAGCTCGCTAGCGGGCTTCGAGAGATGGGATCCGAACGGCTCTACAATGCCGAACAAAAAGGAGTGGCTCTTTCGGCAAAAGACACGCGGAAACTGCCCTGTTACAACTCTGATATGAAATCTACACGAACCTCTGCAGGAGCTTCTTCTTCTTGTTGTACGCGTAGTTGAAAATGGCTCTTTTGATTTTGCTTTGTGCGAGTTTTTCATTGACGCCGTCGAAGATCTTGTTCATTATCCGCGGCACCATTGGAATGTAGTGAGGTTTAACAATCTTCATGTCATCAACCATCTTTTTGATGTCGCCTCTCCAATACACCACTGTTCCCCCTTCAGCAATCACAAGCAGCTACATCAGGAAGAGAAGAACTGGTCAGCACGGATCGGACTAGTCATGAACCTGAGATAAAATGAGGGAATGCAGCTAACTTCAAGGAGAAATTCGGGTATTGGGGATCACTCACCTCAAACAGAATTTCATATATATGTCCTGTCGGCATGTAACAGAATGTCAGTTCTCCCGGTTTGGGTCGCAGGGGGCCGACAGTATTCGATACGATGTGGAAGGCCCACAAAATATTTTCGTGGGTGATGATAGCTCCCTTCGGCTTTCCGGTCGTTCCCGACGTGTAAATCAATGTGTACATATCCTCTTGTTTGGGGAGCTGCGAGAAAATGAGTGTCCTCTCGTATATAAAACTCTGACTTGTCATGATAGAATAGAGTGCTCAAGTCATACGTTCGCTAAGCATCAAGCCCTGGGTCAATCGAGGGGCACGTATTCAGTGGGGTGTTCAGAGGGGCAAGGGTGCAATGGCCTTCGTCGAAAATGTCTGGTCCCCATACTGAAGCATAGGCCGCGAGAAGGCGCGTCATCGTCCTCCGCTCATGCCCCCTCCCCCCCCACGCCAAACCCGAAATTCGTGGGATGGCTCCGAGACGCTCTCTACTGCGTCAAAGATCACGAACGACGTCTCCTATTCGGCCACCCAAGAAGCATTTGTTTCCGACGCTTACATTGTAATCTCTCCGACAAGCTCCCACCTCCGTCGAGATCGCCGCTCCTACGCTCTTCTACATGATGACCTAACACGAGCCATCCTCATCTGTCGACTCGGGCAGATGTTCGAGTTAAAAGACTCCACTCGATCGGGAGAATCATCGCACCCTACGGTCGAGGGTCGATAAAAACTCCCCAAAAGTTCTGTGGCTGAAGCCTGAGCGCATCCCGAATTTTCACCCTCGATGCCCACGAGAATGGAGACACTAAGAGAGGCTACCGATCCCGCGTCATCGGCTTCCGTAAGATTCGAGCGAGAAACTAGTTACCGCGAGCGCGGCTTAGAGACTAAGCGAGTCTATCGCGTCGTTGTTGCCGATATGACCGGGTCCCACATTAGTGGCAAGGTCGCCGATCCATCCGATGCTGTTACGACAGGGAGACTCAATAAGCATTGAAACATCCGTGAAAGAGGACTCCATTGATAACTTTCCTCGCTCGATGGCTCTGCTTGGAGCCTTGCGGAGTGAGTCAAAGGGAGCCGTCTAACACGAAACTATTCCAAAATAATCTTTCTCAAGCTTGGCTAGCTCGCTGGAGACCCCTCGCGGCAAGTGTCCTTGACGCATTCTAAACGGATAAGCTGGTTCGACATCTTCGCGAAACGGAAGGTTCTGGCGTCCATCTCGAAATCGAGGATCACCTGAACCTTTGTACCTCGACGTAAATATTCTTGGGAGCGATTCTCTCATGATTGGACTGCTCTCTAGGGGGTTGATGAGGAAGGGCTCTCCGTAAAAATTTGGTTGCGTCGCGTATCACGAATCACGATAGGCGATTTTCTCGCAGAACGTCCATAATGCCTTAGCCAGAGATCGCCTTGTCCCGTTTCGACAAGATGACGAAAGTTCCAGGGTCCATCGAGCTATTTCTCGATAGTAGATCGTGCGAATTACCCCAAGAAACTTACAATGAGCTCGTGGCTTTTATCCTTGCCGAGTTGCAGGAAAGCGTTGATACCCATGATCTGAATACCGGCTGCCCTGGCATCGTTCATCAGGTCTCGACTCGGAACTCCTTTTCCGACTACCACGGTCTTCACGAAAGGGAGACTGGCGGCGTTATCGATGACAAGACGCGCCTTCGATTCATTATCACAAATATAAATTTTTGGTTCACCTGGAAAACAGAATCGTTGAGTACCTGATGAGCATGAGCGAGATCCTCCATGCTCGACGGATAGCTCAAAGAGCGGGAACGGAAATAAATTGTCGAATGAGGCGGGGCTATAGTATACACGAACCTTGCTTAAGGACATATTTCACAGCTTCTGCGTCTAGATTGGGATATAGCGGTTGCAGGACACCGCTAATAGACGTGGTGCCGTACATGACCTCCAGGAATTCTTTGGAGTTCATTAGGCTCACCGCCGCGAAATCTTTCGGCTTCAGACCGAGCTCCAACAGGGCGAAACTGAGCTGCTTGGATTCGTGGAAAAACTGGTCATATGATAGATATTTCACTTCTTCAGTGGCCGGGTCGATCCATCCGCACAACCTGTCGCTCGCTGAAAAGAGATCCCATCAGTCAACTGGGGTTAAATGCCGAGCAACTAGGCGATTCGCACTAACACTCAATTAGGTGGGACCCAGCCCCGTCTCCGGCGCCGTAGCGAAAGATCGAACACCGGCTAAGACGCGTGCAACCTGACCCCCGCCCCGAGCTTGCAGAAGCTACGCAGCAGAAAGAGGGAGGCGGTCTAAACGGAAGGCTAAGCTTACAGTAAGGATCCCCTCGAACAAATCGATCGAAAGAAAGACAGAGACACCAGGTTTGTACCCAGACAAGGGCGATCAAAGATCTCAAGACTCAGGACAACGGATACAGGGGACTTCTTCGAACCTCTTCGAACGTCGTCTCTTACCGGTGGGACAGGCTCCAACTGATACGCACCGGGAATATAAGATTCGTTAGTGCTGAGAGATTGAAAAGCAATCGAAGCAGTGCTCGTTAGATTCCGACACCGCGGGCTTTTCACCCCGAGATTTCGATCGCCTTTCATGCCCAACCCGGATGCGAAGTTCCCCCCCTTCTTGGGACGGGTTATCCCCTTATTGTTCAACCACCCTCCGAGGCTTCACTCAGGCTCACGCCTCAGTCGACGCATGCAATATTATCTGAGGGCTGAAAAGGCGGAAGGAGGGGTTCCGCTCTGAATAGATTCCGCTCCAAGAGAAACCCCAGCCCAATTCCGTTCATCACTCAATTCCTGAAAACCGCGATCCCCGAAACTCACTTTTGTTTTGCGCAGCTGCATACTGGAAAGCTTCATATACTGTTCTAGGATATTGTAACTTCTTCTCGGCTTCGACGTCGAGCGAAATCACTCTTATCCTCTCAGGTCCCTGTAAAACACTCATCGTTAATTTGAGCCATGTCACAAACACGGTCTTTGGAAACGTCACTCCCGTCGTTCCAAAGAGTTCAAAGTAATTTTTCGGGTCTCATGATCGCTCGGCGCCATCCCTGAGCTTCGAGTGGTCCCGAGCATCGAGTACTCAAAGCTCGTCCCACAACAGTCCGCGGGGACTAATGGGAATCGAATAAACTCTGGGTGTGATTCTGGAAGACGCGTCGGATTTCCGATAACAATAAGCTCTATGAGGCAGATCGACTTCATGAGTAGCATCGATCAGGCTCGGTGTCGACGGGCTCACACGCGCGGGGGACCAAGTCTCCGTCACCCACTCCTCGCGATCGGCAACCAATCGACTGTTTGAGAAAAAAAATGTTCGACTTCCATGGACTATCAGGGGGGCCTGTGTTCAGATGCAGCGATCAGAGGCTCGTATAAGTCTGGAAATGTAGTCCATCAGTGCCATCGAAGTGTCGACGAAACCGGGAGTGGGTCAGTCCCGGAAGACCCGTCGTAGTCGCCGACTTTTTTTGGAAGAACTGATTCGATCAGAACAACCTCAGCTAATCGATAGGAATACTGTCAATCTAGAATCCGGCATCACCCGCGAAGAAACTCGAGTACTATAGCGACATCTCCGGATTTCGAACGACTCAGCACTGTCAGTACGGCTCCTTCGGAGAACTTACCGGTACAACAGCTGTCATTTTGTTCATGAACTTCGATGCGGCCAATAACTTGCTTATCTCTTCCGTGGTCACTTTCCTATCGGTACCTTTCCACGTGATGGAACGTACTGTTTGCGGCAGCCTCACGGCCGCAATACGTGAAAGCATCGTCTATTCGACCCGGAAAGTCTGATCTCGGTCGGTACCAGGAAGAGCCGCACGATCGGAATTCGATTCCACACGGAGAAGAACACTCTCGGATGGGAGCAAAGCGATCAAGTCGGGGAGCACTAGCGGCTTGCCGGCGGGCGACGAAGGTGAGTGGATCTTTACGGGGTCAACAACAAATGCTCATGCTTGCTGTTGGCACACGAGATAGAGATATATACAGGAGCGCACTCACACACACACACAGCAATACGAACGACCACACGTCTGATGCACACTAGTACCGGAGAAGTCCTGAGAGGGCTTTGCGGAGAGGGTCGTTCATTGAACATCTGAACCGGCGAAATCAGCTCCGGTGGCCTGACGCGGGCTCCGGCTCGAAGGTACTGCAGATGATCGCCAATGTCGCCGTATTTCGATGCAGACTATAAGCACTTCACGAGGGGCTTGCATGCGGTTGTCTGCCGTCATTGCAGCGTAGCAGAACCCAGGGAAGAAAGGCTTGTCGATGAGAGGTAGCGGGATTCGTCTGCTTGTTTTGGCGGTCTCGGCTACTGCTGCAGAGGGCCGTCTCGAACACTTTGTCAATTTGAAGGAAAATCGACGTGTGGGTCCAGTACACACACTGGTCTTCATGCTCCGGAGCGGGGGGTTTCGCGTGGTTCTTCATGATTGACGTCAAAATTATGCGGTGAAGTGGGGAACGTCCTCGGATTCTTTTTCTCTCTGTGAAACCGCTAGTTAGTAGCTTCGCGCTATGACATCTCGCATCGCCAACAAGTCGAAAGGTTCGTTCGCGGATATGCAGAAAGAGTAGGCACTCTGATCGCTCTGGAGGTGTTCACGGTCCGGAAATTCAACCGAACCGCTCGGCACGGAGAGATGAGTCGTCCTGAAGGGGAAAGAGTTCTCGTTGCTTCGACGTGAGGGGATCTTGGGAACTTCCGCTCACTAGCTCACGCGATAGCACCTCAAAGAACGTACAATGAGGAAATTCCTCAAGGAAGCTCCCTCATCGTCTCGAGTTCGTCGAGTTCCCCAGGGCACCCTGGCCCGTGGGGCCCATCTTTGGAATTAATTGAGACCGCTCCTGATCTTGCGGTCAAGACTCCGTACAAAGCCTAGACTCGTCGAGACTGCCGACTAGGAATTTCAGGATGGCGGATAGCGGAGGATTGAACATGGTCTCATGGATCATGGAATCACGCGTCGAGAGAGCACGTTACATGAATATGAACCAAACATTCCAGGTCTCGACTCCGAGATCTACAAGTGTCGCGATGAATCGAATTGGAGGAAACTGCTTGAAATGGCCGAGCAACTCCGTCAGCGCTCTGGTCAGCATTCGAGTCATCTAGCGAACCTTCTCATCGGTAAGGCTGAATTTGCGCATACCTCGTGAAGCATCTGACCCATAGTCGGATTCTTGAGTTTCCGCAGTACACGTCCCCAGACAAAGAAATAGTTCAACCTGACATTCATGTCTCACAGGCGAAGCGAAACTCGAGATCTATCTTGAAGATCATCCACCCGTGGAGCAGAATATCCACAAAGCGCGGACCTCGCTCACCGATGCTAAACGGTATGACGATGAATAAGAGAGCTCTGAGAATGCGTTAATATTGCTTTTCCTTCATGAGGCCACCGAGACGAAGAACTCCTCGGGCAAAGGCTTCTATAATAATACATCCACCGGAGGGATTAATGAGAGGCAACTTCCTCTATCCAGTGTTCCCACGTGTTCCCCTGTCCAGATTCCTCAGTCTCTGGGAGTTCTCGGGGGCAGCAGATCGAGTTTGGGCCGGGCGGAGCTGTGATGAAAAATAATCCGCCGACTCTCTCATTTTCCCAGATATCTGACTGATTGCACCAGATCGGACGCTGCGAAGTCGAACGTTGCTACGGACGCCCGCTTCCTCCTCGCGAAATGCTGCTACGCGCAAGGCCAATACGAACAAGCGCTGGACCATCTTGATCAAGTAAGACTACGCAGGCCTTCGGTCCGCGCAGAGCGCTCAGATAGCGAATCGTCTGCCCCTGGTCTCGATCCCAGCTTCGAGCGGGGAGTGAATCCTCGTTCGGGGGTTTCCGCTCTCCGGCAATCAATATTAAATCACCGAGCTTCCAGGGTGGCATCGAGCGGCTTGAAGAGAGGCCTGTTGGAGCCCGAATGCTGAAAATTTTGGCGGAGTCATTCGCCGTCAAGGGTCTTTGTCTCGAACAGCAGGCTAAAACGACGAGCGTTGACAGAGAGGGGATCGTAAAGTACTACATACAAGCTGGTGAGATGGGACTCAAATATCTTCAGGTAGGTCCGTCTATGGAGCTGGTTCGTCGATTTTGAAACGTCAATCACCTAGGTAGTCAATTCACATTATTCCACGCCTGACGTCAACAATCTCCATTCGCATCTGATACATCTTTCAACTCGGATTAGAACTAAATCGGTAAATCCATCGCAGGTGGTTGAAAAGAGTCAGGGTATACAAGGTGCGGTGGTCCAAGTGACACCCGGTGGACTGCCTGCCTTCGGAGGGGCCGTGACTACCGAGTTCCGAATCGGAATCCTTCTCGAGACGGCGCTCCAACGAGCGCCTATCCTCATGATGAAGTCAGGACAGATTCGGGAGGCGGTGGATCAATATCGGAGCGTCCTGTCAGCTCAGGAGACAACATCTACACAGTCCCTCCGGATGACGCTTGCTAGACAATTGGCCGAGGTCCTATTGCGCGGTGTTTGCGAACACGAATGGCAGCAGATTCAGCCCCAGCAGGAGCAGAAACGAACGAGCAAGTACTGGAAGCCGCAGTACTATTGCGGGGGATCGCTTTACGTCCCCGGGGAGCACATCGAAGAAATTCTGCTCTTACTGTCCATCTCCGACGCCATAGCCGTGCGCAACGTCGTCCTTGACCGGTACGTCTGTTCCGACTCCAACCCCTTGTGTTCTCCCCTAGATGGACTCTGCCGGCGAGGAAGCCGCCCTCCTCGCTCCCTTCCCTGCATGATATTTCGGAGAAACGAAGGACACCCGGAATGACTGGTTAATTTATCGCGCTCATCTTGCTCCTGTTTTTCCAGGTCACCGGATGTGGCGCAAGATCGAGCACAATCCATTAAGAACGTCACATCTGTACTAGATTTGCTCTCGATCGCGTTAGCTCGTAATGCTCAGTTTGGTCTACTGTGCGAAAACTTCGAAAAAGTTGCAAAATTTTCCTGTGAAGAATATCACATATGGAACCAGTTCGGTCTAAGTCTGATTGCGGCTGGTTCTCACTATAGAGGCGTCCGCATGCTGCTAGAATCTGCCAAACTCCGACCCAACAGCGGGTTCGACCTCCTGCTTGCAGCGAAAGTCACGTTGTTCAATCTGAACAAAGCAACGGACGCGTTGCATCTTATAGAAACCGCCATCGCTCGCGAGCGAGTCCTTCCCGGCAGCGACGTACTGGGTGTGTGTCTAACGCTCAAAGGGCTCTGTCATGAAATCCTGGCTGATCAAACGAAATGCAGCAAAGCGAAAAATGAACACAGGGTTCAAGCTTTCAAAGCTTTCATCAGAGCGAGGCAGATCGATCCAGATTATCCTCAAGCCGAATACTTGTTGGGATTGCACTACGCTAACGTGCATCAAATCGACGCGGCCATGGTCTGCGCCAAAAGGGTACTGAGCTTGGCGCCCGACTTCTTCCCCGGGATCCAGTTGCTTATTGTGCTCCTGAGTGCGCAGAAAAAACACGAGGAGGCCCTGCAGCTAGTGGAAATGTCGCTGAATGAATATCCGGACAACCTTAACTTACTCTATCTCAAGCTCCTCTTGGAGGAATATCTCGAGGGACCCCACAAGGCGCTTCACACCGCGGGCGGAATGCTCAAGCAGTGGAAGATGCTGTACGAAGGGTATTTAAGAGTCAAGCAGGCTACGCATGCTAGCGGTCTCACGCCTCCGGCGATCGGAACGAGCTCTCAATTGGGCCCTGTTCCCGTCACGAATGCCCATTCAGGTCGGTGCTCGGTGCTGGGAAGCCACTGGGCCGAACGCGAGGGGAGCGTGACGGCGGAACTCGACATGTCTTTTAGTGAAACGCTCGGGAAAATCTCCCCGTGTGCGCGACGTGTTCACGTCGACGAAAATACGATGCTGCAGCTGCAAATGCACATTTGGCTTCTCACTGCCGAACTCTACATTAAGATTGAACACTTCCCAGAAGCCGAGCAATCGATTGCCGAGGCTTCTAATGTTCTTCCTCTCTCTCCGTATGTGTTATTGGTCCGCGGGCTCCTACACGATGCCCGCAATGAGTACATCGAAGCTAAGAACTGTTTTGAAAGCACTCTGGCAGTTCAACCAAACAACGTTATCGCTCTTCAACATTTAGGACTAGTTTATCATCATCTAGGCAGCCATCAGCTGGCAAAAGCGACCCTACAGAGCGCTGCTCTCATCGAACCGATGTCGGCAACAACATGGTTTTACTTAGGCGAGGTTCTCCAGGAATCCGGCACTCCATCCGAAGCGAGCGAATGTTGGGAAACGGCGGTCCAGCTAGACCTCTGCACTCCGATTCTAGAATTCTCTAAGCTACCCAGAACGCTGTAAAGCTCTGAATCGGTGATTGGAATCTGCGGGCACGCTTCCGTTAATCGATTGTTTGAATTGTTCTATAATTCACTTAAATGAATAAATATTATAGCGTTGAGGATTACACCGAGAAGCTTCCGGGAATCCTCGCTTGAGAAGTATTGGGAGAATCGGCTGAAATTCGAGGCTCTGATGGGAGGGTCGATTGTGGGTTGTCTCACTTTAAAATAGTTCCTTGAACGATCATCCCAATTCGTATCTCTTTCCTCAGAGGGTCCCCTGCCTTGTTTAGGGACGTTCGTCAGGCAAAATCGTTTTGGAAGATCTTCCGGGTATCAATGCGACAGTAGCTCTTTTTTGTCTCATTCGGAATTGAGACGACTTTCTCAAAATTACAACCATACACGGATCCAATCGTACCAACATAGCACTAGACTCCCACGGCCAGCTTTGCTCTCTGAAGTGGCAACATTGAACCGTCGGCTCAAATGGTGATCAGTGATCAGTGATCAGGAAGGCGGTCTAGGGATGATCAGGGAGTGTACCGGGAACTGATTAACTCATGCACTCCATGCTACGGTGAGTTTCAGGGTGGAGTCGAATTTTTCGGTCGAGCTCGATTTTTCGAGCGCACCATTGGAATCGGATTTCACGAAGTGAGTCCTGGATATTTTCGCGACCTTCAGCACTCGATCGCTCGGCATCGGCAAAATTGGTTCAATCGGCATAATCCGATTCAGTTAAGCGCATGGAAGTTTGGCTCTGACTAGGGACTAGGAATCCATTATTTGACCACGACTCCCAGGCGGGATTGGCTGTGTAGATTACTGATTTGCGAAACAGGATGGTAATGTTTGAATTAGCATAAGCGAATTGATAGACCATCGGGGGAGGATCTCCCGGGATGCCCTCTCGTCTGAGAGAACACATAGTCCGCTGTGATAGCTCCGCTCCACCGCTTAGTCTAAATTCTACCATAGTTCGCAGCTGTAGATTCCAGGGATTGCCCGTGACGCTTCTTTCGATCCACCGTCGAAGGCTACAATCGATGCTCGCTTCGCTCCATGATGCTCTGGAAGGAGTTCCTTGAACCTGGGCGCAAAAGTTCGGAACACAATTTCCATGGTGAGTCTCCAGTATACCCGAAGCTGAGGAATCCGGTATTGCTGGTCGATCCTCTCAGAGGGCATCAGCATGATTATTGGCTATGAGTTCTGAAGGGGCGTAGGGTATTATAGGTCTCGCAGCACATACGGAGCCGGAAGTCGGGCATGGTTGCCCTCTTGTGAGGATCGAATGAATACCTGCAGTGGTAGAGCTACGAATTAGTTTTCGCGGTATCCCTGATTCGCGGTATTTCTTGTCTAATGAGCCATCCTCTCGGAAGTACGAGACCCCTCATTGTTCTCCAGGACGGCAGCGTCGCTCCATAAGGTATCACTGGTTCTTGTAGAATCCGTAAATGGAGATCGAGATGGCGCCGAAGAGATTATCAACTGAAGATCAGTTCTTGATTTACATATTAGCTAAGTTCCCTCAAGGGAACAGGATGCTCGCAACCCATTGGATGACAAGCGTCGCACACTACCCCGCATAGCATGCAATCGCAGCTCTCTGATGGGGAGTGGAAACCTTTGCGAGCGCAGATCTTATGGTGGAAACCGTGCATGGCGAAACGAGTCACCAGGAGCCGGTTTTCATAATTGGCCCGTCTCCAATTATCTGAGCTGAATACCTCACAATCAGTATAGAAGATACCCGGATCGACTTCGGTCAGCTTTATCCCCCACAACCGTCGGTGCTCCCGAAGGGCTTCGGTTTCTGGAAGCTTGTGTTTCCTCTGGGGGTCTTCAGGCAAGAGCGGGACCGTTGCTATGAGATACACGAGCCTATTGATAGAAACAATAAATACGTCTACCACTCGCGCGCGGACCGAAGTCAGCGTACGTCTTGTGTCTGTTTGATTCGCCTTTTGGAACCGATTCTCGAGTCTTCGGGGCCGCAATCATCGTTCCTACCTAGGAAACTGACCCGTAAAATTACACAAAGCGTCGGTTTTCAATCCAGCTCTGAGTGCGCGCTGGAGGGGCGAGAGCTTACGCGGAGCGTCCGGAATCATCTCGCTTTAGAAATCTGATCGCGAGCAACCACGGATTGTGGGTGATGTGTCCGCCCCACCTCGCCACCAGAATTACAGTTAGCGGCACTGCGCACCGGGGCGGCTTGAGAGCTCCGTGATGCAATCGATATCCCGAATTCTCGGCACGATGGATCGAAACATCTCAAGCTCGAATCATATGGGACACGAACTACAAGTTTCCAATTCTCTTGGATTGATAAACGCTGAGATTCGAGCGAATTTTCAGGAGCCATCTCCTCCTCAACAGCATTCGAACGAGGATGGGTTCCTCTGAGGAAGGATACAGGAAAGAAAGCCTGAATCATTGAAAAGTATCAGACGTAGTGGCTGCAGTTGATGCTTCATCAGTCTGACTTCCAGATCTTCTAGCTCCTGGACAGCCCTGATCGTGACCGCGAAAAATCCCCATCCCGCGAATGCACTTCCTTCTTTTCATCCGCCGAGACGATCGGCAGCTACCCAGTCGCAGTTCCTCGTGGAGGAGAGTGTTAGCGGTTTCCGCCGTCGATCTCCGTGGACTTGTTCGGCACGGGACGCTTCGACGTGAGCGATTCGCTGCCCATATGTCTGTAGGAACTACAAGAGAACGTCGTTGAAAGGCGGGAGTCGGAGCTTCTCACCGTGGAGACAGCCTTGGCATATGAGCTCCGTTCCATTGGGGAAAGATGGATTTCCACGAACTATTCCTTCGACTCTGAATCCCGGCGCGGAGATAGGATAGAGCGTCCAGCTGCCGGATGGAGGCTTGCCTCTACGTTTCCGGAGTATCTGAGCTGATCAGACAATTTACATTGATGATGGTATCCTTGCACCTTCCATAATTCAAAGCTCAAACTTTTGCTCTATGTGTCTGTGACTCAGTCCGTCTGTGACAGACTTTAGTCGAGAGTCCAGCTCTCGAGCAAAATTAGGCCACAATTTCGGTCGGCATTACGCACAACTTGATCTTGTGTAGCAGATTTATTCCCCGAATTGGGTACTGTCTGATGCGATCGAATGAGTATGATTCGCCTTCCGTACTCCTGCATCTGCAGCGTGGAGTTCGATCTACCCAAGCAACGGATTGGCTTGGTGAGCTCTCGGAAAGAGGAGAATCGCCAGATTTTCGAGGTTGAGTCACGCCTACTCGTCTCGAGAGCACGAGCGCCTTTCGACCGGCATTCAGCAGAATCTAAGAAAGCATACGTTGGGAGTTGGGACCATGGAATAGCCATCAATCGATCAATTCAGAATGGGGGAGCTCTTCACTTCACGTGAGTCTCCGATTTCGCATGCTAACAATAAACCGAACATGTCTCAAAATCGTCTTATCGGGCTGCGCTGTTTGTGAGTTCTTGCGAGGGCTGCCGCGAGAAGAATACCGACGCAATGCCCCCAGGAGGCAGCGAGCGTGACAATCTCGTCGGGACGTCTGAAGTGGTGATTTGCACCACCAGCGCAGCGTTACTCTGAGCGCATAGATCTCTAGGAGTGAGCGGGTGCGCTGCTGACAGGAGCTCTTCCGGAGAGTTGGGAAAGGGCAGCCAGATCCGTCATAAGGGAAATCGTCTGAAAATATCATTTACCTGCCGACTCTACATTGTATACCCATCCGTCGAGATCGTAGACCCGGGCGAAGAACTCTATCATCAATCACGGACAATCAGAACAGACTGAGCAGGTGACGAGCCGGCTCATTTTGAATGATTCCTCTTACTTCGAATACTCAGGCGGTGCAATAAAAACATGGGAGGTGAAAGTTTCCCAACCTTACAGAGGTACAAACGAATATTTCGGTACTCGCCAACACGCGGGCGCGTTCCAACGCGTCAGACATGCACAGTGCTGCTCATATTCTCTGCAGCGACCACCCTTTTCCTCTACAAAGATGACCAGACACTGAGCCAAGGTAATTTCCAACTGGCCGCAGAGGAAGGTTCGGTTAGACCTGACCTATGGCATTATACCAGCCAGCGAAGAGTTGAGATAATAATAAGCATCGTCGGTCTCTACTCACTCACAGATCAGGCAACGATTCTGGAAGTTCTCTCGAGACATCCCCTACTGGAGTGGACACGGAACGCTTCGGAAGAACCCTCCTGCCGAATCCCTTTATATTCGGCATTCAACGAGGAAATAATGCCCTATTTCAAACTTCCCCCGAGGGAACTGCGATGTAAAGTGAGTGGATTGTCCACAGATCTGCGGCGGGGGTTCATTGAAGAATCCAATGCCCATTCTATATTCGAAGCATTGAGCTCGTTGATTACCTATTTTTCATAACTCGCGGGCTCTATCTCAGACTCCCGACTCGATTAATGCGGACTCCTATAAAACCGGTTCCCATACTGCGACTCTTAAGCATAGGTACTTCCGAAAGCCGCACGAGGGCCAGGTAACTTGACGAGATTTCCCTCCCGAGCTGCTTGTGGTTGTGGGGCTGATATCTAACTCATCGAATGGGAGTTTCCAGGACCGCGAGATACATTTATCGCGGGTTAGCCTCGAAGAAAATGAACTAGAAATCGCCGAGTCGGCGAGAGTATACAGTTGCATTGTTGAGGATGCCACCCGAGAGGGGGACGACGCAATCAAATTCGAGAATGCCCGTCGCGTTGAAGTTGGGCTGCATCCCCTGCGCAAACGAAGAGGTCTGCAAGCGATTCGAGTGTCTTGCGAAAACTTCCTCGGCCTGCCGGTGTACTCTCACATTCATCTCGTTCAACCCGAATTCGTTCCTCGGTCCCGCGGCGACTCAGACGGGCCGAGCGCCGCCTCCAAGAACGTGTTCATGTTCGGAGTCGATTCTATCTCCAGCCTAGCCGCGGTTCGTCTATTGCCACGGACGTATCTCTATCTAGTGAATAATTTGTCGGCCATCGTCTTGGGGTCTCATCACAAAGTCGGCGATAATACGTTTCCGAATCTCATCACTATCCTGACCGGGGAAAAAAGAACACACCCAGCGAGTAGCGAGCATGAGAAAGATCAATTTTTCGACTCTTGGCCTCTTATCTGGAGGAATTTCTCCGATGCTGGATATGAGACATTCTATGGAGAGGACTTTCCGGCATACGCCACGTTCAACTTTCTCGCGAAAGGTTTCAAGGAATCGCCGACAGATCATTACTTGAGACCCTTCTGGTTGGCGATCCAAGAATCCAAAGTCCTCCGCAGCAGCTCCAATTTGTGCTATGGCGCCACTCCGAAGCATGAACTTCAACTTGACTATTTGAAAGAATTTATCCGCAAAAAACGAGAGAATCCTTATTTCGCATTTAGTTTCCTGGTCGAGATATCGCATGAATACCAAGAACTTGTGGGCGTTGCCGACGATTCAATTGTTGAGGTCTTGGAAGCCGTGCGTGCTCAAGTGGTCTCCGGCGAGACTGCGCTCATCTTCTTGTCAGACCACGGTCATCGATTCGATGCCATACGACAAACCCGTCAAGGGCATCTCGAAGAACGCCTGCCGTTCGTGGCTATAGCAATTGCCGATGCCGCTCAAAAATCAATGCTCCGCGACAACAGCAGAATGCTGACGTCTCATTACGACCTCTTCGAAACGCTCAGATCGTTCTTGCCGAAATCCCACCGTCCGGCTCCGTCATCAGTCGGTATTGACCTTCTCTCGCAGAACGTGCCGCGGAACAGAACCTGCGCTGAGGCTGGCGTTATCGACTCCTATTGCGCCTGCGCCGAAGAGGACTCGAGCACCTCATTCAGCTCGAATGGATACCCGGATCCGGAAATTCAGCGTTTCGCAAATAGAACTGTCGATTTCATCAATTTTCTGCTCCGAGAGGAGCCAAAATGTTCACGACTCGCTCTCCGGAGTGTAGTGTCAGTTTTCTCTATAGGGGGCGAAGAAGTGTTCACGTTAAAGACTAGTCCTGGAAGTGCCGTATTCGAAGTTAGAGTAAAAAGCCTCACTGACGATTTGCGAGAGGATCAGCTGAGTCGCATCAATCGTTACGGAACGCCTTGCATACCTAGTGAAATACTCCGGAAATATTGTGTCTGCGAAAAATGAAGCCTGATGGGGTTTCCCTGAATCGTTCCGCTTGAGGATTCTGATCTGTTAACGAACATCAACGAAAGTGATTCATTGCCCAATGTTCATTAAGGGGGCGGGGAAACTGGAGAGCTCCGGAGACGAGCTGGCCTTGCCCCCAGACCCCTCGGAAAGACTGTGACCTACATCCGATGGGGCCTGCAGGACTTCGAGGGAAGTATATTGTTTGTACTGATTTCAATAGAAGAACGATAAAATTACAATTAGGGAACAAGAATGCAATTACTTATGTTGTAACGGGAACTCTGAGGTCCCAGACGGTAGGGGAGACTGAGGACCGTTGGGGTGGTACAGCTCCGGAGGCACAGATACTGGAAATAAACTGGAGGAGTATTGAACTCACGCACTCTATTTTATGGATAAAATCGGATTGCTTTATTTCTCGAATCTCTTCCGGATTACGGACATGAAAGGGTTAGAGTTTAGAGTAAACGTAGAAGGTGGGGAGGGGGTTTTGTGAGTAGGCCGCCGCACAGTGGGCCAAATGGTCGAATTAGGCGGACAAAAGTCGAGCTCGAAATTTGACGCCCCACATAGCGTCGGAATCTCGTCGGAACATGGGAAGACGCGGGCAACAATCCTTTCCGACTCCGCTTCGATCAAAATGAAGTGGAGAGACAGCCAAAGTCGATGATTCATACGATTCCAGAGGAGCTTGTGTCCGCGAGTTTTCTCATTTGTGTTTTGTTGCTTCGAAAGAGTATCGACGATAAAGATATCGGAATGGAAAAAGGAACACGCCGTGAGTTGAAGCACTTCTCAAGTCCGCATTCAAGACCATTTGAGAAATTCTCAGAAAAGTTGTTGACAGACCGCGCTTCGTAGCGCTTCTCGAGTTCAGATGCCCCAAACAGGGGGATCGTAAGACCTTCGAGACTAACTTGCTGTTTTCAGGAATCGAGATTTCTGTGCCGCGGGTTCAATTTTTCGATGTTTGGCGTCAGTGTCCGGATGACAACGGTCTAGATTCACTTATATGTACGATGGATTTTTTCGCAATGCGTAGACAGCGTGGAAGAGTGCCGTTTGATCAACCGACGAGATTTGAGGCATGAAGTCAGTCGTATTATTTCGAAGCTTCGCAAGAAGCACAAGAAATGCCGTCGAGGCCGCGATGAACTCGTTCGTTTGTTTCGTTGATACTTCAGCATCAATGAATCCGGGCAAGCATCTCATCGTTGTGACAGAAAAAGAGTCAGACAGTAGTGTCTTGTTGTCTCTTTCTCGAAAAGGCGCCAGACCAGCTCCTGGCTTCCCTTTTGAGAAATTCCGAGCTCCGACCCAAGGCATCGAACACGAGAGCTAGATAATATGAGAAGTTTGTCAAGGGGGGGAGAGCGAGTATTCCATCCGCATGATTCCGTTTCACGAGCTCCGGTTCCGTGATACGCGGGGTTTGTATTGAGCGGAGCTTCGAATTCGTGTATCTCGAGCTTCGGAACATCGAACTAGACAAGCAGCGTCGGATTCGAAGTGTGAAATAATTTTTTCCACCTAATTTGGCCATTTGGCCCACTGTGCGCCGGACTCTGACGGCTCAAAACTTCCCCCGTATGATGAGGAACTTGTTCGGCCCTCTTCGGAAAGGGCGAGAAAACTCGTGGGTGTCTTCATCCAATGATCTTCAGACCCCTCCACACCATGGCTGGCAGGAGTAATTGTGGGCTCGTCACGGGTGGGGCCCGTTCCGAGACACCATAAGACGTATCCGAGGATCCAGAGGGTCAGCATTCAGCATCATGGAAACGGCTGAGCAAATGAGCTAGCACAGGGAATGCATCGCTCCTCCGACACGTTTCAGCGGGGTCCACATTTGGAATGACGGATTTCATCTGATGGAGATCGGTCGTAAAAATTCATGGGAGACACTTTCGCTTCCGTTGTCCCTCTTACCGGGCGCGTCGGGTTTCTCCGACACACGTAACCGGAGACGCGGGTTCCCGTTTTCCCAGAGTGGGTCGCTGACCTCGGCCGAGACCGGAGGGGCTCCTTTCTCTGAGGATCAGTTTGGGCCGCGCTGGTCGCTTCGGTCGGACGGCGAAGAATGGGATCTCCAACGCCAGATTTGTCATGGGGTCCTTTCAGTCAATTGTCTCCAGGGCTGTTTGGAATCGAGATTTCAATTGATTTGCGTGTTTCCTTGCCACGTGTCCGTCGATTTCAACGACGTAATTGACGTTTCCCGTTCGGCTCCTGACGATGCCCGGCACCCAGCAGGATCTGTTGCCGGTTTGCTCCGTGGCGTAGACCGTGTCCTTTGCCTTGAAGTCCTTCGTGATTGCCCCATGATGCTTGTCGAAGTCTTTCTTTGTGGTCCCCGAGTAGTTTTTGTCCCTCTAAGTATTGATGGAGTTTATGCGTGATGCGTGTATTTTGGGCTGTCGACCCCTCCTCCACCGTCATTTTTTTTCGGGAGCGTTTGAAGATGTCGACGAAACTTTCCGCTTGTCCGTTTGTCATCGGCATGTAGGGGACTGTGAAAATTTGTTTTGTCCCTTTGTGTGCGCAGAAATCCTTGGTTGCTGACGATGAAGATTGGGTACCGTTGTCGGTCACCAATCCTTCCGGATACCCGTGCCTTGCTAATACTTCGTCCAGCAGCTCGATGGTCGCCGAGGTGGTGATCTTCTTGGTTGATCGGACCTCGGGCCATTTCGAGAAGGCATCGACTACGATCAGGTAGTGCAGGTTGTTTATGGTCCCGCGTAGTCCGCGTGGATTCGTTTCCACGGTTTGCCAGCGCTTTCTCATGGTTGTAGGGGAGCCTTCTTTGGTAGTTTTCCCGCGAGCTGGCATTCGTTGCATTGTGTCACGAAATTCTCGATGTCGTGGTCCACGCTTGACCAGGAGACGTATTCCCGGGCAAGATTTTTCATTTTGGAGATTCCGGGCTGTCCTTCGTGTAGCGTTTCCAAAACTGGGTTCTTCAGTGATTTGGGGATCATCACCCTGTTTCCGAGAGTCAGGCAGTCCTTCACAATGCTGAGACTGTCTTTCCGCGATGCCAGCGGGGAAAGATCATTTCCTTTTTCCTTTTTTGGCCACTTGCCGGAGGATACGTACTCCATGGTTGCTTTCAGGAGCGGATCCTCGGCTGACTCCTCGATAACCATTTTGGCTGTTACCGGTAGCCTGTGGAGGTTTGTATCGATTTCGTTCTGGAGTTCTGCTTAGATGCAGGCGATTACTAGGTCATCCTGGCCTGGTTTCTCTTGCTGATCATTGATTATTCGGCTCAGGGCGTCCGCTTCTCCGAAGTCTTTCGTGGACTTGTGTCGGATGTCAAAATTGTAGTCCAACAGTATGAGAGCCCATCGCTGCGAGCGATTCGCGAAAAGGGAAGAGATGCCGTTTCCTGGTTTGAAGATCGTGATTAAAGGTTCAAGATCTATATTGAGGATGAACTTTCCACCGTAGATGAATTTGTGAAATTTTCGTACGGCGAAGATCAACGCCAGTGCTTCTTTCTCGATCTGGGCGTATTTCTTCTCTGTCTGCGTGAGGGACCTGGCCGCGTGTTGGACGGCTCTCAGAGATACGTCCGGGAATTCATGAAGGAGTACGCTTCGAGGGCCGTAGCTTGATGCGTCCGCAGGGATGATTATTGGAAGTTGTGGATTGAAGTGTGTCAGTAAAAGATCTGACTGGAGTAAGCGTTTGGCGTCATTGAAAGAGTCTTCGCATTTGGAAACCTACTCGAAGGGGTTATCCTTCTTCAGTAGGCTGTTGTGTAGGCGGTTCCCTCAGTGTCGCCATGTTGGGCAGGAAATTGCTGTAGAAGGTGATCATTCCTAGGAATGCTCTCAGCTCAGCTATGTTCGATGGGGTTTTCATATCGATGACCGGTTGGACGCGACTCGGATCCGGGTTCCGGCCGTCCCCGTACAATATGAACCCGAGATAGTTGATCTCTCGGCGCGCGAGCGAACATTTATCCTGTTCGACTTTTTCCTAGACCAAACTGACTCAGTCGCTCGAATAGCTGGAGGACTTTGGACACATGTGGTTTCAATGTTTCGCTTGAAATCATGATGTCGTCCAAGTATGCTGCTGTGCTGGGTAGGTCCGACACGAGCGTATCCATCAGTCTTTGGAAAATGCTCGAAGCTGTTTTTATTCCGAAAGGAAGGCGTTTCATTCTGAAGATATTTTTCGGCGTGTTTATTGTCAAGATGGCTTGGCTTTCCGCCTCGACTGGCACCTGAGGGTAGGCCCCGCTTAGGTCGATCTTCGAGAAGAATTTTCCTCCGTTGTGAGATTGCTGAACATGTCTTCCGCTGTGGGAAGCGGGTAATTGTCGTCCTCGGTGACGGCGTTGAGCCCGGTGGAGTAGTCCGCGCATAGACGGATGTCGCCGTTGCTTTTGCGGACAACGACGACTGGCGCCGCGAAAAGAGAGCTATCGGTCCGTTCGATGACGCCAGCTTTCTCGAGTCGATCTCCTTCGTTACGTCTGGCAGGATTGCGCAACCGGTCTTGCCTTCTTGAATACTGGCTTCGCGTCCTCTTTCAGTAGGATTTTTGGCTCCGTATGTCAGGCACGTTCCCAATTTTCCGTCAATCACTCTCGGGTATCGCGTCTTGATGTTCTTCATAAGCGCGATTTCGTCGGTGTTGTCCCGGGGAGTTTCCTTAACTTGGGTGATCGCGTCGGAGAGGAATTTTGGGTTCAAAATTTTTCCGTGCGGATCCCTCTTCAACCAGTCGAGTCCGAGTAGTGAACATTTGTCCGTCACGAAACACTTGCCGGTGAATGAGGTGCCTCCCAACTCGATTTGGCATTGGAGAATCCCGTCGGATGTGAGCTTTGAACCGTTTGCTAGTGTTAGGTTCTGAGTGGTCATTTCGAGGGTTGGATTCCCCGGCTGTTCGTAGGTGTGTCGGTCTTATAGTGATACCCCCGCTCCTGTGTCCACGGCCATTTTCACTGGGACTCCGTTGATTTTCACCGTGGTGCAAATCAGGTTGAGATTCGCCTTTGCGCCTACGTGGTTGACTCTTTGTCTGTTGCTGTACGGCTTTCCTTCTCTGCATTTTTTGCTATGTGGCCTTTCTTCTTGCATTTGCTGCAGATGTCGTCCTAGAATCTGCATGTGTCGCATTCGTGGTTATTGCCGCCGCACCGATAGCAAACGTATTTGGAGTTATTAACGTTTGTCGCTTGCGATTTTCTCTGCACCGTGTAGACGGCCCTCTTCTGGCTTGTCCCGACGTACGTTGCGTCTCGCCTGATGTTTTCGAACATCTTCAGGTCGTTGATGAGCTCGTCGAAGGCTGTACCAGACGCGTTTCCAGGGAGTTTAAGGCTCGAAGACGCTGGAGCGAGTGCTCCGGTCGGTGCAGCCTTTGAATGGCTATGAAACACTCGATTTCATCGACTTTTGCAGGTTTCCATATCCCTGACATCTGTTTGTGCCTCGATCTGCTCTGCCATGTCATCGAGGTTCGTGAACTCTTGGTTCGGGTCGAACAACTTGAGTCTTCTTCGGAATAGAGACGTAGGCTGATCGAGGAAGGTTGTCAGTTCGTCGATCAGGGATTCGTAGGATAGTTTGCTGACCTTCTTTTGAATGATTCGTTTGGCGAATTTTCGGTACTCTATCTTTTCCAGTTTGGAGACGATGAATCGTGCTCGGTCCTCGTTGTCGCCGAATGGACTGCTTTCGGCTCCGATGATTGTTTGATAGCGTTCAAAGCAGTTTTCGAACGTCAGATCAAGATCTGCATCGAAATGGAATTCTGGGATCTTGACGGAGTCGAGCTTGTACTCGAAGCACCTGGAGTTGAATGAGGCAGTGTTCTTGGACTGAGATGCTGTAGAGCAGGATTCTTTGGCCATCTGCAGAATTTTCTGCATCTCTTCTTCCGAGTATTTTGCCATGTTGAACTTTCCGTCCTGTGGTTGGGGGGAATTCACTCCACACGTTTGAGTTCACTTCGAGTTCACTCGCACAACATTTGTCACGTCTGTCCACGTTGGATTCTTCGCGAATTCAGACCAGCCGGATTCGTTCTGTTCCTCGTCGTCAGTTATGCTGTAACGGGAACTCTGAGGACCCAGACGTTAGGGGAGACTGAGGACCGTTGGGGTGGTACAGCTCCGGAGGCACAGATACTGGGAAATAAACTGGAGCAGTATTGAACACACGCACTCTAGTTTATAGGTAAAATCGGATTGCTTTATTTTTCGAATCTGTTACGGATTACAGACATGAAACGGTAAGAGTGAACGGAGAAGGTGGGCAGAGGGCTTTTTGAGCCGGCCGCCGGACTCCGACGGCTCAACAACTTTTATTCTCGCACTTCTGCATCCAACCATGATGTCTCCATTCAACATTGAGCTCTCCGCGAACGGTTTGCGGAAACACGAGCCGCGGAATTCGGCATCGGATTGGCAAGAAGACATTTTACGCATTTACAAGAAATCTTCGATTCCTCGAATCGAGAAATCATGAACATGATTCTTTTCTGCTGAAAGAAACTTTGCCGATCGAGAATATGTCCTCGTTGGAACTTGTCGTCATGTTCAGCACGAGTAATTTCTCTGCAGCTAGAGGATGCCAAACACCCATGGTGCAACCCATGTCTTCGTGTTCGGAATAGAAGTGGCACCGCCGTGTGAGACGCATTGATGGAATGTATTCGTAGAAATCCACGTAATTACACTGGCGCAGCATGAATGCCAAGCCTGCAAGAGAATCAGGAGCTTTATGTGGTCTGAAGCTTTGTCTTCTCAAACTGAGCCGCGGAAACGTACTGCAAGATTCCTGTCAACATGATGCTAATTTCATCGCATACCGATGAGTCCGCTCGAAGGCGGGTTCTTGATCACAGGGAGGTTCGAGTTTATATCAAGAAAATCCCACAGTTCCCACAGAGAACGGGGATTTATGATGAGGAAATTCTCCTCCGGAATGATTTGCCGTCGGAAGAAATAAGACGTGAAAAGGTCATGCTCAGGCTTCTCGACCCACTGCAAGGGAACAAACGATATTCAGGTTCACGGACTGCACCGAATCGCGGAGGATGGTTTTCAGGGCTCATCATTCGACGCAATCTAAACTGACTTCTCTCAAGTCCTGCCGATATTTGCTGGCGTCCCACACGAGAAGCGTCAGGTTCCTATACAGTGGGGATTCGAAAAAATCGAATTCGGGCTTCGAGACAACTTGTGAGTTCAATATGCGATGAGTCGTCTTCGATCCCACGTCTTGCGCGTATACACCGCCGGCCGGAGCATTGTTGAAGCGCAGAACCGCATCGTGCGAATCTGTAAGAACGATCGGGGCCTCCGTGAGTCAGATCGCAGGCCATGGATCACCCAGCCTCGGCGGGAAACGCTCCGAGCAAGCCCTGAGAGGCTCAAAAAGCTAAGGTACCGATTTCTGATCCGAGTCTCGATTTCAACATCGAGCCCGCACTGCTGACGATTGCGCACGAGTTATATGACGTCAGGCTGCCTTGAGGGAAGTAGAGGTCTGATCCTTGGGACCGGAACGGTTCGTCCCCTCTCCGGAAAAGCTCAACTTCCGACATTTCGCATATCCCTTTGGGTCCGGGAAGAAACTTCGGCCGTCGGCGATTCAACCTGGTGGGAGGAAGTCGAGTCTTGAATCTTATTCCTGTAAAAGCCGTGCTTTTCTGAAGGAACAACGAGTCCTCGAATGTCTGGGCCCGCGTTGACGTCAGGATGATATGCGCTAGCTCTGTTTCGGAGGAACCTGAGATATGAAATTTTACCTTCGAGGGATCTGGTATATGTTCCCCTTGGTCGCTTCATTTTCGGCTCTCTTATCGAGCTGAACTCGTCGCAGCTGCACTATCAGCTGCTGCCGATAAACCTGTAATCTATCCTGAACTGGATGAATCGCTTTCCGCTCGGGATGAGGCCAGGAGAACACAGGCCGTGGTGGACGATTCACATTCACCACTGCCTCTGAACCATGCGAGAGGAACTCGCGCCAAAGCAAAGTACTGTAGAGCACCAAGGCGCCCAGCGTCAGCACAATGAAACTGTAGATTATCGTTGCGAACGCGAACTTCCCCATCGGGATGTTCTCTGGATCGTAAGGATTGGGTTGAGGTGAGAAAAATCCTCGTTTCCTTCCGTGTTGCGCGTGCATTTCGACAACAACGGGACACGGAGCGCGACAGCGCCATCTGGAGAGCGCAGACAGGAACTCCGACACTGATGATGATTTTCCCTCGGCTGAGGAAAGCTTCGGAGCAAACGTTGCCGCGACCGGTAAGCTAAGAAACGACTTTTCGTCATCGTATCAGGACGAAGCCCCGACTGAGTCCTCAGTTGAAAGCACAAGCATTTGGGGAAACGCTCGGAGTACACCGCGGCAGCCGCGAGTAGTTCCGGCATGAGAAAAGCCATCGAGGGGGATGCTTGAATATGATTATTGCCAAAGCCTATTACTATGACATCCATCGCACCCTGCTGCGGAGACTGTCGAAAGTTATACAGAGAGACAGATATCTCTCAGAGAAAGGTCGGCACCCTCAAGGAGCCGGGAGTTCCAAGAGAGGAGCATGTTTGCGGAACCGGGAGCTCAAGCTGTATTAGATTCCGAAGATTCATCCTCGATTGACGAGTTTTCGCGGCGCAACAGTCATTCGAGATTCTCTCGTCGAGAGCATCATGCGGGCGACCCAGGACCAGCGCGGAAACTCGAGTGTCGATACCGAATTTCCCTGAGGAAGAACCACGCAATAATCCGCCGTCTCGTAATGTTCTCCTGAGGTAGAAATCTTTTTCATCATAAATTGGGTGGACTCAGTCAGGATTCGAGGCTCTACCCTTCCAAGGGCGATATCTCCGATCATCTTGAGCTGAGCATGGGTCACGGCCACCATGATCCACGCCGCGTCTAGCAGAGTTTCCCGATAGCTGATTTCCCTCATCAGAGGTGGAAAGCTGCCCTCTAACGTAGTCAACCGTGGGAGCGGAGCTCGATAGCTCCCATGCTTCATGCCATTATCCCTCGACGAGCATCCTCTCCCTCCAGAATTCACAAGACATCCACCCCCTTCCGTCCTTCCTCCCGAGACTGGGGGAAAAGAGCGCTCGATAGAAGCGCCAAAGTAGCCGTAGCTTGGGGAGAATTCCTTCCAGACCTCGATCAGGGCCATGGCCCCATGTCAGGGATCGGCTGGCTGAGAAAGAGAGTCCATATAGACTGTGATGAATCATGTTATTCAAGTTATTCCAGGCCACATGACTAGTACAAACGACGGAGATCTGGTTTCTCGTATTCACTGCATCCTTCGATGACGAACTGTGTTGATATGCGCAAGCGATGATTCTACATTCAATACGGACGGATCTAAAGCGATGGGATAGCCACCGGTCTCGTATGAAGCGCCCTTCGGATTCCCGGCAGCTCGATATCAGTGTCTGACTCGCTCGTGGATGAGGTCACCCCCGATCCTGGGGCAGAACAGGCTTCTTCTGAAAGCCTGAGCGGTCAGTGTCGCCACGGGTTTGATTCAGGAGCGGCTGACCCATTTATCCCATGCCCGCGTTCCCAGTCTGGAAATATCCTTCGTGCCCGTACGCGAGACGATCCCTGTCGAGCTCAGGATTACGAGCGACGGCACGGTATGAACCTCGAGGAACGACTGCAGTTCCCTGGAACACGGAAAGAATGAGGTCTCATGACGATTCCCTGGGTATGGGGAAAGCTTTTCACGGAAAAAGTGCCCAAGTCGCGAAGCTCTTGATTCTGCGAAAATCGCATCTTGACTTTCGCTGTAGGAAGTGGATTCGTATGCAATTCGATTATTGCTGAATTTCCTTTCGCAGTGATCTCCGACTACGACACGCGATGCTTATCTTCGAGTAGTCAGATGCTAGCCAGCTCGTAAGCCCTTCCAGACGATACAAGGGTTCGGAACAGACTCGGGCATTCCTTCCGTGGGGAGCTTTCTCAAGGAGTTTGCGTAGGCCGAGAAATGGAGTATTTTCGCGGAGGGTAGTTCGGTAGTTGATAAAACAGCTTTATCGTTATGCTCCGTAGACGGGTGGCGCGAGTTTCAAGTACTCATACCCATTATGAAGGACCGTTTAGCCTTCATACTCATCGGGGTCCTCACTAACACGGCTGATTTTAGATATTGGTAGAAGCTCGAGATTCGAATATCCAAATCGACGTATCGGAGGAGCAGATCGAGACCTCTTCACTCTTGGCTCGAAGTCATCCCGGGTTGTTTCAGATTCATCGGGAGTAGCGAGTTTGACCCGCTCTGGGAATATTTACTGGGGTCTAAGTACCGCTGACCACTGCATGGACCTGGACCCATGATAAAATTCGTTTACCACCTGAAGCGAGGACCCATAGGGACCATTTCGGAGTTTCTGTCCCTCATCCCCTCCCCTCGGGTTTTCAGCTGTCCCTCTCCTACCCAGCGCAAGCAGCTATGTCGATCGAAGCCGAAGGATCAAATCTAAGCCAGGCAAGACAATGGAAGAATTAAAAAAAGATAGACTTCGCTGACGGAGATTAATGTGATTCTCTTAGATTCGCGCTACACCTTCGCGGCGCGGCGGTAAGACAAGACTCACCGTATGGCCTGATCCGAAAATCGCAGGGAAAACCAGTTTGGGTACTTCCTGATAAATTGGAGCATTTCGCGTGAGCTCCTGTCGGAGGAAACGTAGATCACGTGCAAGTGGTGACCGGTTCGCAAGAGCGAGTCCTGAGTCTTGAACAACTGTTCACAGAAGGACCTGCGGATAAACTCGCTTCAGCCAGAGGCAGGCGGAAATTATTCGGTTTGGACTTGCTTTTTAGGAAAGATCTTTGATCATCGTTCGATCTTAGGGATACCCTTCGCTCTAGAAGACCGTTTGATTTGGTCTCTTGAAGTGTGCTCGGAATTGAGGAGAGCGAGCCGAAAATGAGATGAGCGGGGAACGTACTCGCAAATACAGCTGCGCGAGCTGCTGAAGAGCAGAGCGACGAGTGTGTCGCTCCGTTGCAATAGCTTCTCGAACTCTGTTTCCTCCCCATCTGGCGCCAGCAGCGAACGGTCCGTGAGGAAATCAGCAACCGACTAGAGAAAAGAAAAGAATCGAACCGATAATTCGGCAGTCTTTACAGCCGTGGGAGCCCTTCGCTGCCGAGAACGGGCCCGATCGTCGGCTCACAGGCAGCAGGGAAAGTGCTTCGAACGGAAAGAGGCAAGCAGAGATTTCGCCGCGAGAATGGGTGGAGGAGACGAAAACCGACCCGTAGTATGGACACATGAACTTTGCCTAGAAATATTGAGAGGATGCTCACAAGATTCCACGAGCGTCCCGATACAATACACTTGTAACAAGCGCAGAGGCGTCCTGGCATGATCGTGGAGAAGGCGCCAGCGGAGTAGTTCTTTTTAGCGTAGATTGTGAGCGTAACGCCGGAGAAGGAAGGTAACACACCGACAGCCTGACTGTCAACCAGACAACCACTCAGCTAGTCTACCCGTCAGTCGCTCGCCGTGGCCGCTTTTGATCGCTCGGCGGAGGGACAGGCTGGCTCGAAGGCCCGCGTATTCTACGTAGACTCAAGGAAGGCGCTAGACGGGATTCGGAGACGGTAGAGGTATCGTCAAGCAGTGCGAAACTAAATGTCAAGGCGGACGCCACCCATAACGTTTCGTGGGCATCGATGACCGCGACGCTCGCTGCGCTCTTGGTAAAAAGCATATTGTTTCCGACAGAGTCCATCGAGTCAGGGCTCGGTGACAACCCTGAGGGAGATCCTTCGTCTTCTCATTGGACACATTTGGGCCGATTCCAGAGCATTTTATTGTTGACATGATTCCTCCTAGCGAATTTCCCGGTGCGTCAATGTTTTGGAAACGTGACTCCGCCTAAGATGTCGATCAGAATAAAAGGCGCATTCGCGTCGAGTTTCTTTGGCCAGGATTACGCAACGTCCGGAAAGCAACGGGGTGCTCCAGCTCGGAATGGGTGAAGAAGGCCCCTCCCCCCTCGCTCCCCTTCGCTCTGGGAGAAACGGGATAAGGGAAAAGGAAATGAGTCGTGAACACTGCTGAAAATTCGGAAGATATGACCAGTCAGAAAAAGCTGCAGTTCTTCATACCAGAAGATCTCAGAAACACGGTCGAGTTCATCAATTGATCCTCCCTCTTAGCACCCCCGGGTGTAATTTGCGGATGTGTCGCCTGTCGACTCAGAACCAGGCTGCCGTATCGAATGGAATCCAAAGACTGGTCTGAGGGTATGGGCTCACAAACATTCTTTTCGCAGCTCTTCCCGAAGATTCTCGCGGTGAACGTTACAGGATTGGTAAAAGTGAAATGGTAAGAATTGTGTCTCCTGAGGGAAGGAGATTTCTCCCCGTCAGAAGGATGAAGCCTGTTCCACACGCTCCCATTCGCGGTTTTATCTCTGCGTGTTCTATCCGCTCCGGACAAGGGAATGCCCGAAGATTGTCGAACCTCCTGAGAGGGCCCGCTTGAGCTCAGCTACGCTACGCCGAAACACCGCCAGGTCTCGAGATACGCGCAATACACGATGGCGAATGTATCGGATCATTTTCCTGAGGCCCCGCCGTGAGCGTCAAAGTTTCAATCCTTTGCACGGCGATGCCAGTCGTCATTTCAGCTGCATCCGCGATCGGTGGACCTCGCTCCGGTCGCGCACTGTGTATTGCGGAAGTGATGACACGCTGCACGCATGTGTATACACGGTGCAACGTGACATAAATTTCGCGGGAACCATATGTAGAGACTGTGAGTATTGCGACAGAATACGATTCAACGAATGCCGAAGCCCTCAATTCGAAGGCGGATGCCGCGCTCTACGAGATTGTCTCAGAGACTTCGATTCATCTTCCTTGTGCGGAGCTGTGCACCGTTCCCAAAGATTTGGTGCGCGGCCTGCAAGCATTGACCGAGCGACTTCGCTCCGACGTTAATGAACGATGCCATCATTTGCGACACGAGCATTTACACCCTATTGGAGACGGCATAAACATAGGGTAGATACGGGGTGTTGCATCAGCATGAGATGCCGGAGAAATTCATCCTCAAGAGTAGCCAGTGGCTGGTCGAGGGACTCGACATGGGATCTGTGGTCTGCACGGACTCTCTATACTCCCATGATCGTCAGAGCTCCGCATTGGGACTACCCCCTCTGCATGAAGCGCCCCGGGCAACTCTTGGAGACAATTTCGCCGTGGACGCTTGAGCATACAAATAGTTTGTCAAAGCATACACAGCGAATGGTTCAGGGAAAGACGAGCGGTGTTGTCGGACCACCTTGCGACTGAATTCGCTGCCGTGCCAACTTGCATGGTCTGCTCTGGCAGTCCTGGTATCCGTGACAATGGGGAACCGGACAGCCTCGGTGCTCTATGAGCGAAACGAGCAAGGCCGTTTACTGCGTTGCCTCCAGAATAGACCCGGCGATTATCGTGCCGGATCTGGAAAGAAACAGCAAGTACAGGGGCTTGGGAATCCGACTGAAAGCATCCGCCGGAGGAAAACTCATCCTGTGCCGCTGAAGCCACCCTTCCCCGAAGAACGTTCAGTGAAGAACTCAGTAATTGACGGTCAGCCGGTTTACGTCTCTTCTAGGCAAGAGGAAAACCGAGAGATGTGAGGAAATTCAACAGAAATCGGCGCGGTCACTACCACGTTACGCTGTCTTAGCCAGCACCACATCCCGCGACCATGGAAGTCAACGGAACGAACGGCTCTGCTGCTCATAGTTTCGTCGTCTTCGGAGCGTCGGTGAGTAGAGCAATGGACCATATTGCTCATGAGTTGCTCACCCAGGATTCGAACATGTGACAGAGATTCCGACGCTTTTCAGGGCGATCTTGCGAGAAGAAAGATTTATCCCGCCCTATGGTGAGTTCTGTTTTTTGACGTTTCCACTCTGGACCAAGTTCACCGGTCGCTGAAGTGACGCCCTCAGCGTTCACACTCATTCGGCTCCGATTTTCCTGAGTGGCTGGGCAGTCCTTCCGGACTCCAACCACGACTCGAGTCGAAGCTCCAAGCTTCAGTCCGATTTATTCGGAATTCGTCGCGTTTACCCAGAAGAGACATCCGGCAGCGACTACTACTATTTTCTGTCTGCACGTTCCCGATGGATCTTTTGGAAACCATTCGATTCCGGAAAACCATATAAATGTACAGTGAGGACAATATATGAGTGGAATGAGAGAATTTCGGATCGAATTGCTTTCTCGACTCCAACAGGGCTCTCTATCGCGACGATCTCCTCCCAGAGCGGACGAGAATTGTGGGCTATGCCCGGTCGTCGTTGACGATGAAGCAGCTGGCGGAGAAAGTCCGACCGTACGTGAAGGTGAGCTTAATGTACTGGCTAGAATGAGCTCAGGCCTCCTGGGGCGCTCAAGCTCGGGTTGTCAATGCAACATCCGATCCTCGGTTGCGACACTCGTATGAATTTCCAAATTCTTCTCCCCAGTTGGGCGAACAGGACGAAGCGAAGTTTGAGAGGTTTCTCGCCGCGAACACTTATCTCCCCGGTTCATACGATCAAGCAACGGACTTCATCAATCTCAATGAACATCTGAAGAGCTTGGAAGCGAACGCTCCCTCTGTGAATAGGCTCTTTTACTTGGCGCTTCCGCCCTCAGTTTTCCAGCCAGTGTCCACATTGCTGAAACAGCAGTGCATGAGCCCATGGTGAGCTGAGCTAGCTTTTGATTTCGAATGAACCCAAAGTATCGTATAAGGGAAATTTCTGATAGGGAATCGCCCGTCTCGAGCAGCGGCTGGAATCGTGTAATCATCGAGAAACCTTTCGGACGGGACTTGGAGTCGTCCGATGCCTTGTCAAGACACCTTGCTTCGCATTTCAAAGAAGATCAGATATACAGGATTGATCACTACCTCGGCAAGGAAATGGTGCAGAACCTTATCACGCTCCGCTTCGCCAACAGGATTTTCAGTCCGACGTGGAATAGGTGAGGCGCTTCTTCTGTCCGTTCCGGGGGAAGTCAGACCGCAGGGCCTGAGCAAGCCCTTCTGAATTCCGCGGTGTACTTGTACCTCAAGCTTGAGCGAGTTGATTGCCGACAGGAATGGCGCTGAATTCGAGCCTTCGATTCCAGAGACAACATCGCGAGCGTTGTCATCTCTTTCAAAGAGGACATCGGGACCCTGGGGCGAGGTGGATATTTCGATGATTCCGGTATCATACGCGACGTCATGCAGAATCATCTGTGTCAAATGTTATCGATCGTCGCAATGGAGAAACCTGCGTCGAATCGAGCGGACGATATTCGGGACGAAAAAGTCAAGGTGGGTAATCTACGAATGAGAGGGCAAATGTGCCGAAACTTCCATGACACTCGGCGTTCCCACCCCAGGTGCTCAAGTGTATCTCGCCCATCCTCATGGAGAACTTAGTACTGGGTCAATACGTCGGCGATCCGAAAGGGCTCGGTGAAAAGAGTCAAGGCTACCTCGACGATCCGACAGTACCACGAGGCTCTTCGACTCCTACGTTTGCCACGGCTGTTTGTTACATCAACAATGAGCGTTGGGACGGCGTCCCCTTCATACTTCGTTGCGGAAAAGGTTCGTGAGCGGCACACTGACTCTTAAGAATTAGGAGAGCACTCTCTCTAAAGTCATTCTGAACTTCAGCTCTGGATGAACGTAAGGCTGAAGTGCGCATCCAGTACCGGGATGTGCCCGGTGACATTTTCGCCGGTCAAGCCAAACGGAACGAGCTCGTGATGCGAGTACAGCCCGGCGAGGCCGTATACGTCAAGTTCATGAACAAATCCCCTGGGATGTCTTTCGAGATGGAGGAAACGGAGCTGGACCTCTCCTACAACAATCGTTACAAGGTAAGCGAGAGACGAACCTTGATTCAGCGATGGTGAGCTTATAGAGGGTCGCTGGAGACAGGGCTACTTGTTGTAGGTCATTGAGCGACGGAGAAATCTATCGCGTTGAGTTCTACCCTACGAGGCGTTCCGTGACCAGTGGTCGCGATCGAAGACGCTCATGAGATGAGAGTGACTTGCGAGAGTATCGAGATTAGCGTTCACGATTTCCTCGACAAGCGGCTCGTCTGACGCAGGGTCTGATGAGACCGCGGATCTGATAGCTTCCTCCACGTGCGATTCTCCGTCAGCAGTCATCCACCGATGAGCGGGGCTCATTGCACTTATTTCCCTCTTTCTGATTACGGAGTCCCGGAAGAACAAAATATCAATACGGAACTGCCCTTCATCTTTAGCCCGGATATACTACCGGGTGTATGCGGAATCCGAACATTCGAGGTGTTCCGGAATATCTAATGAGGTTGTTGAACCATCTAGGGGAAGGTTTCGCCGGACGCTTACGAGCGCCTCCTGTTGGACGTTTTCCTTGGGAATCAGACGAGTTTCGTACGCAGCGAGGAGCTAGCCGAAGCCTGGCGCATATTCACCCCTATACTGCACATCATCGAACGGGGTCAGACGAAGCCCATCCCATATGTTTTCGGCAGGTAAGGAGGAGTTTTCCAACGTAAAAGGGCTCCAGAAGGTATGCCAACGCCTACAATACCCGAATCCTGGGCGTATGCGATGCTGTGAAATATGAGGCTCGACGGTGACTTGGCTTACAAGCTCGACCATATATCGCTTTGATATAATTACCCATTTATCCTTTGGCCATTGGTGTCATCCGTGTGGAACTAAGGGAACCATTTTCAGTCGCGGTCCCCGAGAATCCGACCTCCTGATGAGTTCGAAAGGCTTCAACTACTACGGGACTTATCGTTGGAACCAGGGCACTGATGTTTGAGCCGACCGAGCCTACCGGCATCGTACTGGTCGAGGACGCTTCCACGCTCTAAACCCAGCACGCAGCGAGCCTCAGTACTTCCATCCCATTCGACGATGAGCACCCCGTGCCGCGTTCAATTGCCTTCGTCATTCAAACCATCGTACCTGATCAATGGTCCGCCAACAAAGGTTCCGTATCCCCGCGGCGTGAAACGATATGGGTCGCTCGCTGCCGCCAGGCCGTTAATCAATAACAATCGTTGAATAAATTCACGACATTTCCGAAAAACTTGGGAAGCTCGGTCTCCTCTCTTCATTTGCCTCCGCTGAGATGGTCTATCTCGTCGTGTACCTTTTCGCCTAGATTCAATCTTGAAGATTGCAGTCCCGGCGAGAGGAGAGGCAGATCAATCCCGATCCAAATCGCAGGTGGTCTGAATGATGTATATTTCTTCTGATGTCGAGAGCCCCCCTCCCCTCCACGACCCATGGACTCACAGTGCGAATCGGAGCTTTCCTCGAGCGGCACTCCGGCGGGGCCCCGACGAGCTCCCTAATCTTGGATTTGGATTGGGACCCCGTCGCCCTTCTCAGATCCGGATCAAGGCTAGGGCACCAGCGATTGGGAATGTCTCCGCTTCCCGAATCGGCTCCCATGCGAGGACGTGATTGTGGTATCCATCGGAGAGTGAGAATATTAGGGGATTACAAGTTCTCGAGCTCATCGAGCAAACTTCGAAGTGCATGCGGTCCAGGTCAGGGAAACAAACTGGTCTCCATGCGGGGCTGAGAGGCTTGTCATCCACGTGATCAAAGCCTACCATTCATGCTAGAGCGCGGTCGGTGAATGGTTTTTTTTTCCTCTCCCGCCGTCTCCGAAATCTGACGATAACGCGCGACACAAAAAAGTATCAATAAGCTTACTTTGGAATTTTCCTGCATAAGGAGTTTATTCTTGAAATATGTTATGAAGACATCGACGAAGAGAGATTGAGACCTCAAGATTCTTCGGCTTTCCGGAAACCTAGCAGCGTTGCTTCAGTATGCATGACCTCTAGAGGCGCTCGAGATGATCCTATCAGAGGAGGAAGAGTCTTCATACCGTAGTCCGCATCGGATCGCGTGGCAGCGGGCAGAATGCGGGTCGAGTCAGCAAATGGATCGAAATTCCCCTCTATTCGAGGATAGAGTTCAAGTCTGCGAATGCTGCAGCTCCGAGTCCATTCCTGGCCATCAGTTTCAGAAGTTGTTTACAATGGGCGAATGCGATCTCCAGCGGAGGCCTCCGAGACAAACCTAGAGACTCTGAAAATACGTGAAAGTGTCATCAATGAGCGGAAATATCGGATTAAGACCGTGGGCAGTCGCTTCTATCGTCGGAGACCAAGGAAATACGATAAGATCGAGGACAAATCCATACCGAGAATCGCGCTGTTCAATGCCGCATACACCGGTTCGCGCTCTGTCGGAGACAACAGATGTGACACGGGACACTTAGTCGGATCGGGGTAAGCCAAGAGAGCACACGCGCTCTGAAAATGCCGGCGATATTTTAGCGCTTCACCTCTCGCTCCATCTATTTACAATCCCTCTGTGAAATCGCGGGGAACGGATCGCCAGGCAGAAGAGGACTCACGAATCTTATCCTCCTCAGCTTCCCGCTAGGGTCTTTCAGACTTTTCTCTAGCTCGCAAAGCTCGGTTCCAAAGTTGACGATTCTCTCCAAGGTGACATCTTGACCCGGAACGGATGGCTCGTCGTCGTTTACAATGTCCTCCACTTCCATACTCTCCGTCTCATCCATATTCAACGAGGACGAGTCTCCATCAGCGTTTGTTGAGCAACCAGCTACGGAAAAAGTTCCCGCGTGAGACAATGAGGACTCAGAGTCCGCGGAAAGCGACAGGCTTCCTCCTGCGTTGGGCGGGGGCTTACATTCATTGGATAGAGATCCCCTGGCTTCGTTTCTGATCGGCGAAATCTGTATGATCATCTCAACAAACTGGCGGCATTTGAGCTCGAAAAGTAACTCCCGGTTCCTCTCCAGCAGCGACGGGTAATATTTCCGTGTGAGCTCGATGGCCTCGACGATTCGCCCTGACAGAATTAAGCGTTGAATTTCTGTGAGGGAGAAGACCCAATTATTAGTGAGCGTATGTTTGCGCGAGCAGGAGACGGTGCAGCCGAAGCCGGGAACCGCGGCTGATAGCGAGAGAGACGATAAAGTCAGGCGATATTTCTCCTCACTCGCGCGATTGTTCCCCAAACTCACCTTGTCTGTGGCTCACAGATTCCAGCGATTCCTTGAATGTCTGATCGGTGGATTTCGCGAAAGCTTCTGCAGTCTCCGAGTACCCATGGTGCAACAAATACGAGAGGGTTACGCTGTGGAGCGTTCTCTGGGGAAAAGACAAGAAAGGAGGATGAAGAATTAGAAAACATCTGACATCTGACTCGATAAACGATTCACTGCGACCAGAACTCGCTTTCCCCACCCCCTGAATTTATGAGTTTTCGAATAGATTTCGGATCCTAGATTATGCATACCTGGAAATCGCCTTGTGCGTCTCGGGCGGGCAAGTGTTCAATGGTACTCATGGTACGTCTTCTGAGATCCTGGCAGAGAGAAGACGTCGTACTAGGAATGCTTCGGATCTTTGCCATAACTTCGTTCACTTCTATTCGAATGCAAGGGGTGCTCTCGGCGCCTTCAACGGAATATCCCAAATACAGACGATCGATGCCGACGTTTACCCTCCTCTCCCAGGGCCGAGTTTGAAGATATATGTACATACACACATGTATACGAAACTTGGAGCTGTCACGCCGCGGATCAAGCGGCGCAGAACATCTTCAAAATGCGCAGTTCTCGGATCCGGATCGGAACTTATCGGTGAGCCTAATGGCATTGATTGTGTGTGTGTGTGTGTGTGTTTGGATGGATTGTATGTTGTATGATCCCGAATGACAACTCATGGAATCTCCGCGTTCGAGGAGAAATCAGAGGAACATCTCATCGAGGCTGGGCAGCAGCTACGGGAATCGCTCAAATTCGGCAGTCTCGAGATCGCTGCGAGAAATTCACAGCATAACTATGTATATTGCCCAGCGGCAAAGGCGAAGTTATCCATATCCTTCAGGGAGCTTGGATCGACGGATGGAGGGCTGAGCATCCGCTCGATTCCGAAATCGCGCTTGTTTTTTCCGTTGTGAAGAGGAACCCCGGAAAGGCTTTATTTCGTTTTTCGAAATCGTCTCCGAATGTCAAGGAGAATAGCATGCGGATATTGAGCAATTATAACTCCCCAAAATTTCCATTGGCGGCGCTTTTGGAGATGCCCATAATCATGCGTTGTCGTCATTCTCGACAGCGCTATCATCGCCGCTTTCTCCATCCGATCTCCCTCTCTGATCCTCCGAGACCGTATCGGCTAGATCAGGGGTTCTCAACCTTTTTTGCCCTGCGGAACCCTTATTATTGGTTTCGGACTCTATCTTTCCAAATTTTCCCCTTAATCACCTCAAAACCTTCGACCACGATCGCATGAAGTGTCCTGCATGCATTAGAGCTTAGAAAATTCATTCCAATTTGATAAAATGAATAAAAGTCTGAGCAGCCGAGCAGGGGCTCGCGGAACCCAGGTTGAGAACCGCTGGGCTAGATGACCAGTTTCACTCGACTTTCGTTGCGGGATGCTTGCCTCGACAAATGACTTCAGCGAGGAGTCCTCTTGAGCCTACCTCCATGCACGCCTTAGCCGGATGGTTAGCGCGTGCGACGCATAGAGCGTGGGCCGTGGCGACGCCGCGCTCGCAATGGCATGGTCTTCGGCGAGGTCCCGGGTTCGATACCCGACAACGGCCGATTCGTCTTGTTGGGAAATTGAGGTTTCTTATTGGAAAGTCCGATGTACATACAAATCGATACCGCGGGAGGAAGCGGAAGCGTTCGACTCAGCCATCCCTCCCGCGGCTTCTTTGCTAATAGCAAGAAGAATCATCAATTATAAGAAACCTCCTCATTCTAATTGACGATTCGACTCGGATCTCTTTCGAGAACGACTCCGGGTCCAGAATCGGGGAGATATTCGAAGTCACCCTGCCCGCGAATGATAGCACTGAGCTCAATCGCCGAAATAGACCGCTCTTTGCGATCAGTAAAGATCGATTCGGACTAATTGTTCGAAAAGATCCCGACACTCGGTGGGGCGTTCAGCAGCTCATCAGGAAGAGGTGCAAGCTCATCGGAGAGGATCCAGAGAAGTATAGAAAGGAGGTCGCGAGCAGTGTCGGGAGAGACTCGGAGCTATATCCAAAATTTCAAACCCTATAAAGTAAACCAGTTCCAGAGTTCTCTGTCCATCCTCGACGCTCGTGCCAGGGACCTCTCGGAAGTTCAATCCAAGGATTCGTGGTCGATTCTCGCCCGAAGTCGTCAGATATGGCCGAATTCAGTAAAGTTGTGAGGGATTCGTGTCGATGTCCCGTCATCAAGAGGTGGCTGGGAATCCCACGCGCAGCTGACGAAGAATGGATAGGCACACCTCTCCGGACGGTCAGGGCTGAAGGACCGACCCGTCGAGAAACATCGAGGGGGGAGAGAGAGTCCGTTGCACCACAGCCGGGGGCTCCAGCAGCGCCTCTGAATGATCTGTACACTGTGAGATAGCGAGGACCCTCGACCCATGGGTATTGTGTGACAGGCTCTCCTCTACATGACTGTGGACACTGTCACGCCTGGAAAGACCCTTCGTCGTGACCAGCTCAGGAGGAGTCGCCTATACCGCCCTCGGTCACGAGCGGACCGGTCGGAAACGCGTCGCATCTGTCGAAAATTCAAGACGAGTCGCAAATAAAATGGGAGCATTCCTCAATCGCCGTGTAGTCAGTCTATGTTCCCCAGTAGAAAGGAAAGGTCCACGACTTCTGTCGCCACCTTCTGATTTCATCAGCCCTAGGTACTGCATAGCCGAGCGGGTGTAGTTCCACGACTCACGCAGTCGCCGATCAGTACCGAAAGTATCATCTCCCCCCCCCCTTCCGAGTGACAGAGAAAGGAAAACGCCGCTAATCACTCATCTTGTGCCTTCTCGATGTGAACGTACCATCAGCTTGTACGTGTCAGCTCTGTACGAAGAATACAGAGCTGACAGAGCTGGGGGAAATCGAAAAGTTGTCTGCGAGGATGTCTCGCGACGAGTTTTTGGGAGAATAGGTCGGCTCCCAACAATCAGACGATTCGCTTTTCAATTTCAAACTTCATTCGCTTGACCACCCTGGCGCCATGCTGAATCAGATCGAATTCTATTCTCCGTATCGCCGCCCAGAAGTCTCACTCAGTCTGCGGTCGAATACGGAGCCCGGAATCGAGCTTTGTGTGGTCTCCGGTGCGCTGACTGAATAAACATAGGTCGTCGTCTCTGAGAACTCTCCTTCCTCTAGAACTACCGCTTCAAAGAGCTCGGGTGCCTCAGTCCCCTGCTCGAGATGAAGGTAAACTGACACCCTGAGGCGAGTAGGCCTTCAGGGACTCTCCCAAAAGCCCGGGGTTGGAGTCAGCGGATTCGTGTATGTATAGCACGGAAAAGCATCCCCGACTTATCCACTTGGTCGCGTTATACCGACATGCTTCCCCGTAACGAGAGCACTCCCATGAGTCCCATTATCGCTGCTCTTCTTATGGGGCCTCTCGACTCTCATGGCATGGTCGGAAACTACACTCCATTGATGTCGCTTGTAGACTGACGAAATGAACTGAGCAAGTCGTCCTCAGATGTAGCCGACGCCTCCACCCCCTTGGCGCTGAGCCGGAATCGGACCGAACCATCATGTCGTTTTCTCAGCCACCGCGAAAATCAGTTCGAGTCCCATTCCTCAAGTAGAGCCCGTTGGATGCCGTCGGAGTTCCAAAACCGGTTCTCCGATCTTTAGTTCCCTGGTGCTGCGGATTTCCGATCCGCAAACTCAGCGCAATCTCTGAGCGGCCTTTATTTTGCAACGAAACGCTCGATGGATTGACGTAACAAGCTTCTCTGCCCGCTACAGAGGTAGCCGAACGATGGAAGATCATGCGATCGCTAGCACGATTGTGATACGCGGCTCCACAACTTGTCGATCCCTAGATACCGCGAGGCTCCAATACTTTAGGGATCACTGCCGCGTATATTGGCAGAACTCACCTCGATCATCGATTCGATATCGAACATGAAAGGCTGGTGGCCGAAATTGGCATCCACGACTTCTCCCGGGGTTTGCAACCCGACAGTCGGATATAGATTCGGAGGCAAATTGGGGAAAGCGATTCCTAGGTTCTGACCATTTTTAGTGTAGAAACAACTATTGTCCAACATATTCACTCCACAACCAATGACGTCACCAGTTGTGAACGTGGGCCCATAGGGTTGTCCTGAGCCTGGAATCAGAATCTGCCCGTGAGCTCGCAACCCTCAAACTGAGCCGGGATCGAGAGTAGCCCAACTAAATTGGAAAGCTCCATGTCGAGACTGACGAACCTGACGCGCAGAACGCATTGCCGTCATCTCCATGATAGCCAAACGAATGCTTATCCCATCCCGGCAGTCGGTTCATATTGACTCCTTGTGCGGAGAGCCCTATTCCCATGTACCTGTAAGATATATCCCTCGGAATGAGTGGTCAGTATTCCAGCAAGGAAATTGCGACGCATGAGGAGATATTGAAACCTTCATCCTAGAGAGCTGAGACCCCCTGAACTGAGGGACGTTGCTCGTTCTACGTCGCGACTCCCGGCGAACGGACTCACCCATCTCGGCCCTTAGACACGATTTTCACTTCGAAGTAGTAAATCCCGCAGGAGGCAGGTATCGGATGTGTTGCCCTAACGCTGGCAGCGTCTCTCTGTTGGCTTCTGCCCACACCTAGAAGGAAAAAGGGCTCGGTAGAACGGAAACTAGACTTGGGGAAACACCAGACATCGAACCATCCGTGGTAGGGCTGATCACGTCGCCTTGATGAGCGATAACATTTGAAACAAGCTTGCCAGCGGTCTGGGTCGAAGTTGGGGGCAGATAGCATCTCGGCGGCGCAGCGCAGCTTTCTACGCAGATGCAAATCCATCATTCTTGCACTTTTGTTTCCCGGGGATGAGCGCCCCGGAGCGCACCCACACTCCATACCGAGAAGAACGCGGGGAATCGGACCGATCAGAGATCTCGACTTCACTCCCCTTCGCATACTTGGATCCGACATCCGACCCACTTCTCCGGAGCTTCATCTGACTTCTCAGGTGGATGTTTCTGCACCATTCGAGGCCACGCTCCCGATACGAAGGAACCGCACTGCGAAATGAGAAAATTACAAAGCGCATATGGGAGAGTTTGACGTACCTTTGTAGTGAACTCGGAGATTGTTCCGTGAAAGGCTGATGACCGTAAACTTTTCCTTCGGACTCCATGCCCGAGGTAAAGGAGTTTCTGACTCGTCCACAGCGGGGTAGAGCCGCTTCAAGCGATCCTGAATATCCTTGTTCTTAGTTTCCATGGATGCTCCCAGCCCTTCCGAGCAGAGAAGTGAGCGCAATGAAGTAAGAGCGATGTCCGATTGTCGCTGATGATCACAAGTTGTCTCGTACGAGCTGACACACAGCGAGGATTGTTCTAAGCGGTTGCCCCCGTGAATCGATCGTCCCCTTGGGTTCGTGGGACTCCAGCGCAACAAGATGCATTACCACAAGCTTCGAGAGATTCAGGTACCCCCTATTGGTTTAGAATATGGCTTTTGCCAAAACCTACGGTCTGCGATATCTCACAGAAAGAAACAGCTGAGAGTTCTGTTTAAACCAAGAGCGTTGTATTTTACCTGCTGTCTCCAGAGGTAGAACACAACGACCAAGAGCTTGAAAGTTTAAAGCGGTCAACCGAAATACAGTGGGTTTCATTTCGAGTCCCCAAGGAATTCCTCGCTTTCCCCCGGAGGAATGAAGAAGACAATCGGACATTCGAACTCACAGGAAGTAGTAATCTGATGAATGACGGACTCCTAGAGATCACCAAGGCCGTTCACTCGACACAAACGGTCGCCGAAGGCTGTTCGATCTATACAGTCGGATGAGCTGAACTCTCCGAGCCGTCTCGCCTTCCGGCTGTCATACAGCGTTTCGATGTAAGCGGCAGAGGGCAAAGCGAAAGCATGAATCTGGGAGCTATGACACGCCATGCCCCACCTGGAAGCCCAGGAGGCGAGCTCATGAGAGCATTCAGTTCCTCCTAGAGATGGACAGGCTCATCGATGAGTCAATTGTCCAATGAAATCCCGGGCATTCGCACCTGAATATGCGCATCTGCTTGCATGCGGATCATAGCATGGATCAGGCTCCAAGGGCGTTTGAAG